AGGTGTTCGAAGTTAAGGTTCGACTTCCCTCCATTGCAAAGCGGGTGACAGGTGACAAAGGTTTAGTAACCTTTATTACTATAGTTTAATCGAACTGTTAATCAGTATGAAATTACAATTTTGTTTGAACTGATTACTCATACAAAATGAATGAAAGCCGACCAAACTATCGGCCCATAAAAAATATCTGTAGTCTGCGCGAAATCTAACGTTAATTCATAAATATCTACTAATAATTATTTTCGTTCATCAAAATTTAAAAATAAAACGCAGTAATTCATAATAAGAAGACGAGTCTTCATTTGTTTTGTGTTCTATTTTCAACTTTCGCGCTCAATGAATACGTCTTTCAACATCGTCAAATTTTATTATTATGTCTGCGGGTAGATATGAAAAACTACCTTTTTTTTCTTCCATCTACTTTATGAATGCACGTGTGTGAGTGAAAAGACAAACAAAGCCAGATTTTTATTGACATTTACATCGATTTGAAATTAGTATTCCACGGGAATTGGGATTGAAGACATCTCCCGCGCCGCGCTTAGTGCCATCGTTTTTTTTTGTTTTTTCGTTTCCCGCTTTTGGAGATGTACCGCGAGTGTATTGTTTTACTAATAGTGCATTGTTTTAGTGTGTGGTAATGTGTAATGTAAATTACTATTGGAAGCCGAAGACGCGAAACAGGGCTAATTTTATCAGATAGTATCGGCGTTGAAGGAAAGCCTTCTCAAAGGCGTTCATCAGGAAGACCTCGCCTGTTCTGCTGCGGCTGTCAGTGAGTTTTATGCATGTGTTCTGTAGTTATACTTTTCGTGTGTACAGTCGCGGAATGAAAAGGTTCGTCACCTTAGTGTCGGTTTTCGCTTGCACTAGGTACTGTGAGAGTCAAACCTGCCAACATAACAGTGCAAGAAACAGTGCTGCTAACATTTAAATAAATATGACGACGTTTGCTAACGAATAAGGTTTTGCTTGTTTATTTTTCTATCTCATCAGTGCAATCAGTGCAATGCAATGATGACATTGACCAATTGACAATATTTTTTTTATTTAAAAGAAATAATAATGGCAGTTTGAACCAACAAGAAGGTTTTAGTTTATCAATCATAATAATCTTCTTGACAAGATAAATCGTCAAACAACTTTGATCTGAATAATTTTGAACTTTACTGACGAACAGTTAAAGATTATTTTCTCTAACTCGAGATTATTCTGTAACATAGTTTCAAAAGGTAATATGTGCTCGCGATTCGTTGAAGGAATCAATTTGAAAACTGACGAACCTTTTCATTTATTTATTTATTTATTTATTTATTTATTTATTTATTTAAGGACAACCAACAAAACATACACCATACATTCACAGTTTCCTTATAAATAAATTAAGCTAAGGTGTTGCCTTAATTAAAGGTTGCCACGACATGCACCGAATGTTGGATAACAATAACGTTGCCAAAGTGACAGAATGCAAAACGCAAAACAATAAATTATTAGCTAACCGTCGGAGTATACAATTCAGAAATTTGTTTTTTGAATTTACGTAGCGAAGATGACATATCAACGCTGGCCCCGGATGAACGTGACAGGTTGCTAAATTGTGACTGAATCCTGTTGATAGAGGAGAAATGACCCAGATTTGTCCTAAAACCATTTGCTTTAAACGGCAGATACCTGGACAACCGAGCTAGTTTGAAGGGAACATTGAATTTAATCTGTTTAACGAGATCAGGACAATCTATGTAACCATTAATTATTTTATATAGGAATAGACAATCCAATATTTTCCTGCGGTCTTCCAAGCTATTCAGTTTAAAATAATTTAGGCGTGTATTGTAGCTTGGGAGCTGTTTAGCTAATTTATGTTGATATGACAAATGCCAAAGAAATCTCTTTTGTATTGATTCAACTCTGCGTTTATGTATTTCATAAAAAGGAGTCCAAACGACACTACCATACTCTAATCCCGACCGAACCAGTGAGTTGAAAACAGCAATTTTGCTAGATGCCTTTCTGAAATCCCGACAGTTTCTAAGTATGAAACCCAGCAACCTAAAGCCTCTTGTGACTATTTTATCGATATGCACGTGAAAACGCAGTTTATTATCAATGTAGACTCCAAGGTCTCGAATGACATCAACTTCTCGTATCACTTGGTTGTCTATATTATAAGAATTAAAATATTGATTCTTATTACGCGAAAAATGTACGAAGTTGCATTTATCAGCATTTAATTTTATTTTATTAATATTACACCACCGCGCGAAGCGATTCAGGTCATCCTGGAGGAGGCGCCAGTCATTAACGTTCTCCAAGCGAACTGTAATTTTGAGATCGTCAGCATATAAATGTATTTGTGAGTTATGAAAGCATGAGTGAACGTCATTGATGAAAATGTTAAAAAATAAGGGACCTAAGTGGGAACCCTGGGGCACTCCTGATGATGCCAAAAACTTATCAGATGCGAATCCGTCGATCACAACTCTCGACAACCTGCCGACGAGGTAAGATGCACACCAGTTCAGCAAGTTTCCTGTGATACCAAAGTGATAAAGCTTGTTAACAAGGATTTGATGGTCCACCTTGTCGAACGCCTTGCTGAAATCCGTGTAAAACGTGTGTACCGTGACTGTACATACACTGTTGTTTCTATTGTATTATTCATCTAATCAAATCAAAAATATAAGCCGAGCGCCTTACAGTAATTTCCGTAGGAATATAAATTCCTAACCGCGGTGGTGTGAATAATATTTTTTTACATCTAGGGGGCGCCAGCCGTTTATTTCAACGCCACCAATGTTATTGTTCTTGACAAATTAATGTCATCATATTATTATTTTTTGTTTTTACTATTAAAAATTGGTAAAATATTTTGTGACACGGCACGGAACTTTAAATAAAGTAAAACATCGTCAATACTTTCCTGTCATTTCCTTCATAGCATTTTCTATTCGTTTCGTCGTCAATATTGATTCTTTATCCATTATTTTACGTAATTATTTTCATAAATGCCTTTCATACATCCCATTTGGGAAGTTGCATGTTAATTCACAGCTCGTGTATAATTTTCGGGGTCCATTATGCGAAACTTGAACTAATGATCTGGGATCGCAGTTAGTGCAGTAACTGCAATTAATGTTTGCACTTGATGCGTTTAGAGTGCAGTTGGAATGGTCCTGGAGTATACTGTGATTAGATGGCGTTGACACTTAAGTGTCGAAAAAGGTACGAAAGGGACAAAATTAGTATAGTGTATTGTGAATTAGCTAGGTAGAAAAAAAGTAAAACAGGGATAATTTTAAAGCATACATTTTCAGTTAAGCTAACTTCAGAGACGTAAACACTGAGCAGCAAAGAAAAAGGGTCGGTTAGAAATTCTTCAATATCTACAAAAGTACGTGTACTTATGTAAAATAAATAAAATTGCATAGTTTTTTTGTACGTCTTGTTTCATAAAGCTATGTAGGTCAGGTACTTTTATGAAGAATTTCTAACTAATTCTTTTTTGCGGTCAAGTTACATTTTATTAGGTAATTAATAGGCATTTCTAAATAATATTTGGTTTTATGAATCGTTTTGTATCTAGGAAATATTAAAGACCATTTAGTGTTTTTTTACTATCAGAGATTTTTGTGTCTACCGTTATTTTCAACTTGACGAAATATTCTTACATTAAGGCCTACACTTTGAAATGACCTCAGATCATAGAAAGAGAATAGATATGAAGTCGCGCGTAACTACAACGAGAACCAGTGTCCCCACATTTCCCCCACCACAGCTCCCACACACACATTCAACTGTGTAAAAACAAAGCGACTGAGAGTCTACGACAACATGTGCAACCGGCTTAAAAGTGCTGTGATTGGCCAGAAGGCGTGCCTTATGGCCAATCAATGGCCGCGTGACGTGACGCACACTTTGAAAAAAGCAATTAGAGAGAAGAAAGATAAAATGGAGTCGATAAGATATCGATACTTTAAATCCTGGGGGCAAGGCTCGAAATTGGTTTAAAAAATGCTTGTATGAAAACCTTTTTATTATTATACGTTATCACTATGTTACGACCGGCACATGCGGCCGTACTGTGTATTTTCACGCGTCAGTGGATATCGGAAGAAATAAAATACATTGCGCAGTAGTTACGCATGACATAAAGTGGTTGCTAACTAAATCGTCAATGTACAACGTGTTTGAATTTTTATCACCACTAATTTCGATATCGCAGTAAATGTCACGGCACTGAATTCGTTCGTAAAAATGTTTAGTTTTTTTTATTTATAAGCAAAATACCAATGGATTTGCAATACTTACATGTGGTAAATGACTTCATTGTTCCTGTAGTTCTTCGTTTCACTTATGTTATTGCACGTTACGACGCATTATCCAACAATATCGGAGAACATTTCCTCAGTACGACTGAATCGCGACTAACCTGGCGTCGCGGGCGATGTTCGTTTCTGGGCATATCGCGGAGACACGCGCCACGCCCCCGTTTCACATCTATTCCCTTCTATGATCTGAGGAAATGACACTTGAGAATTATGATTCAAGCCTGTGATTTGTCTACAGGTTATCAAACAATAACAACCTTGAAGCAATTGCTAGGTTTTGAGTGCTGTCAAATTACGGTCCATTGTTTGTATTTAACGATCAATACGAGTATAGTTTGATCAAAAGGACTATTTTCTACTTGAAATATTTCCTATTAGTGTGCATAGGTGTTTTAACTGTGTTGTTGTTTAAGGAACAATGTTGTCATTTATGAAAAAAACAACTTACTTTTTCCTATCGTTAGTTTATATTTATTTAAGTGTTATCGCCTGCCTACACTATTATGTACTTGAAATGTTTTTCAATGTGACTAAAGGTGTCAGTTATTGATTGACTTTGTTATACTTATAAGAATATTTTTATTTAGTTTTTCCTACCGTTTATTTTATGTCTTATCGCCTGCCTACTTATAACTATATTATACGAGCATTATTGAAAATGAAACAATCAAATAATTTTTAATTTTATTTATTTACTGGTTAAATGCTCAATGAACTCCATTTTCTTCACTTTTATCCTTTGCATCCTTTATTTGTAGATACATCTTCTAATATCTATCCTTGTGACTGGTTCTTCTTTATTCTTCAAATTCTTCTCCATTAGCCCCATGGCCTTGGCTATGGCCAAGAACTATGATTCTTCGTATCCTGATGCGTGTATATTTCCTTTTTATTTGGTTTTAAACCTCGATAAATTATACTGATTCAAAGTGATTCTGTCACTAAAAATGAGGAGAAGTATTATAAATGGGTGCAAGATAATAAAAAGAAAAGATAAAAAATGTATGAAAATTCCTAGATAAATACGAATACATTTCCTACCACTATTTTATCATAAAACTAAGCAACTATAATAACATTTTATATTTGTTTTTGTATTTTATTCGATTATTGCTATTTTAATCCTAATTCATAATTTTTTAAATCAATATCCTAATCCTCAACACATCAATAACATGTTGAACAAGATATCGCCCTTATTTCATGCGAAATATGAGCGACTTTTGCAATGCAACTGTTCTTAATGTGCAGTCAAGAGTACACTAAAGTTTAATAAGAATAAAGTACACATCTCATTCTCTTAATATGATGAATGAATATCTAACAAATACTACTCTTTATAATGATCTAGTTAGCATAAAAAAAAACATACTTTGTTATCCAAGAACTGATAAACAAAATAATTATCTAACCCTATCGATTTCGCATGAATGGTGCAAGATAAGATAAATAAATGCGAGTAAACAAGAGATAAAATACATAAAGCGTTAAATACATACGTCATCACTTCAAACAGAATAACATCTCGGTTCTTTGTCCAACACAATCTTTCTCACAAATATCGTAGCTTCAGGTTGGTTCTTATCCTTTGAGCAGCAAGGTCTGGTTTCCTCTGCAGGGCTGGGAGGGTTCCTTCCACGGGTGCATCTGTCACTGCAGTCTTTTCCAGGTTTTGACCACATGAAGTTGAAAAGACCGTGACGCTCGAATTTGTCGTGGGGACCGTGTGGGCCTGGGCCGTGATGGCCGTGACCGTGATGTGGGGGTTTCGGTCCAAATCCGTGATGAGACCAGGGGAACGGTCCGTGATGGCCGAAAGGTCCGTGCCCGTGGTGGCTGAAAGGTCCTCCGTGTCCGTGATGCTTCCGACCCCATGGTCCGTGACCGTGGTGACCGTGATGCCCATGGTGTCCATGATGTCCATGATGTCCATGATGTCCATGGTGACCCCAAGGTCCAAATCCAGGGGGCCCGTGATGTCCAGGACCGTGACACGGTCCGTGCATTTTTCGGTGAGGTCCCGGCCCTTCACCACAACCAAACTCGAAGCAGTGCCTTTCGAAATGACCCCTCATACTTAATTTCAATACTTAGTACTGGACGTAGACTGTTACTATTTTTTAATACTTAGTACTGGACGTTGACCGTTACTATTGAAGACTTTGTTCTGTAGACGGTTAACCCTTGAAGAGCTGAATTATACTGAATCGATTTTCTAGCGTTGACTATTTATATGGACGCTGTTTACACCACGTTGTGAAATCGTGTAGCGGTAGGTATACATAGTAGAAATGTAAGCAGTAGGGACATTTTTAATGGACTTGGTGCTATTAATAATATTATGACTCAGACAGCTATTCTATGGATGTTTTTCTGAATTATTTTGTGCCTAAGTTTCACTCAATTAGCTACTCAATAATTTATTGTTCCCATAAAGAACTTACAAACAATGGTAAGATTCCTTTATAGATTACACAATTGAAAAAATATTTGTGTAATTCCCAGATATATTGTGGAATCTACCTAATTAAAAAAAATAACATGATTGCGTGCTTTGACGAAAATACCAAGGTATGTCAGCGGACTAAGACATATTTGTGTATTTATGGCTGGCACATTTTAACCTCCTCTTGGGGTACCCACATTTTTTTTCACTGCTGAAAAGATGAAAGGGTTTTTCGCGACTTATAATAGACTAGCTTTCCGCCCGCGGCTTCGCCCGCGTGGAATTTTGTCTGTCACAGAAAAACTTTATCGCGCGCGTCCCTGTTTCAAAAACCGGGATAAAAACTATCCTATGTTCTTTCCCGGGACTCAAACTATCTCTATGCCAAATTTCATCAAAATCGGTTGCGAGGTTTAAGCGGGAAAGCAACAGACAGACAGACAGACAGACAGACAGACAGACAGACAGACAGACAGACAGACAGACAGAGTTACTTTCGCATTTATAATATTAGTTAGGATATAGTTGGGATTAGTTGGGATTATTTACTTCAAAGGAAGCCTACTGCTATGTCGCTCCATTATGTATAGATGTATAGGAGATTAGGGTTTACTAGGTACATGTAAGTACATGGATGACTCATTCTATGAATTGCTTCAGGATTTGGATCATTTTTATGGTTATCTAAACGGTTCGATGACTCTTCTGATGAGTGATGATGATGGTGCCAAAAAAATAATTGTCATCAAATGTAAGCATGTTTACTATCGAACTTTAGATATAGAAAATATCAATAATGCTGACTTTACATAAAATAGTAAAAGGAATGAAAATAATTGCTTAACCCTCCCGTAGTGAGAGGGTGGAATTCCCTCACCCTGAGCACTCCTAGCCGTTATCACTACTTAGAGATGACGAACCTCCTTCTCCCTCTGGCAGGAGGGCTGCTCTGAGGGCGTTCCTCCGTCCTCTGGTCACCAAACCTGACGCGCCGACTTGTTGCGCTGTCTGAGGTCCTCACGACATCTGACGTGACCGTCTTCCTCCTCCAGCTGCAGCCTCTGTGGTAGGGCTGCAGAACTCCCCTCTGTCCTCCCACGTTACTGGATCCTGACTCGCGCCGAGCAGCAAGTCAAGCGCCGNGAATTTGCTCGCAAGGACAGGGCTGCAGAACTCCCCTCTGTCCTCCCACGTTACTGGATCCTGACGCGCGCCGAGCAGCAAGCGCCGTCTGAGGTCCTCTTCTGGGCCTCTGAGTTGAACGTGGGGTACTCCCGTTGCAGCCTCTGAGGGCTGCCCGAGGACCCTCCTCCGTCCTCCGATGGCACCGATCCTAACGTACGCTGGCTACGCTCAGCGCCGTCTGAAGTCCTCCTGCGGACCTCTGGGGTGCCCCACAGCAGCAGTCCACTGCTCGTGGAGGAGGAGTCCACTCCTTCGGACGCTAGTACTTCCTCACTAGCATCCGGCTCGAAGGACCATGTTTAACCCTCCCGTAGTGAGAGGGTGGCATTGCCTCACCGTTAAACAGACTTCGTCACACACACGCACGCGTATGTACTCAAATGTCTCCGCAGCGCCTAGTCGTTGTTGCCCCGTTCCGTTGACAGCAATATGGGATCATCTTTAATATATCTGTAACACTTTAAACATGTACTAATTAATTACTTTATTTCATTATTTAAATACACAATTATGTATGATTAAAAAAATGTTTTTTCTTAATACTTTACCTTTTAGTACAAAATTTGGTAGGAAAATATTACTTCCCCACCATGAGAAGTTCGTTATTTACCCACCGCGACTTTTGATGTCATGACACTGATTAAACAACCGATTGATTTCATGACTTTTAATATGGAGTACCGTAGATGTAGCGACCCGTTGATTTCATGACTTTTAATATGGAGTACCGTAGATGTAGCGACCCGTTGATGCATAGTTGTCGATATCTAGACAATAGATACTTCAACGTTCGATAGCAAGTATGACACCCTTTTTAAATTGCATAGAAAGTTATACATATTAAATTTTTCCGTACAAGTGTTCGAAACATTTTTTTACCTAGCCAAGCCTAGTAAGATTACATTATATCCGATAAAGCATTTAACTTACTTATTTACAAACAACGTGTAGTAGAGACACAACCTACACTTAAGTTGGACATTCATGATCAATTGAACTGGCGTACATTAAAAAGCTGACCGCATGTCTGAAATCTTAACTTAAAATTTAATTTAGTCAATTAGAGGTAAGATAGCCAGTTCCTCTATGGTTGAGGATTCCGGGTGAAGCTCGCTTCCACCTTCGGCCTGATCATCACTTACTATCAGGTGAGACACATGCCAAGAGCTTCCCAACTGGGATTTTATCCCTAACTAGGGTTAAAAAAAGTTTTTAGATTTTTGAGGTTAACTGATCAGTTTAACCATAAATGTCCAGTTTCATTAATACTAATGATCTAAACAGTCTTCAGCTTGCTTGACCTGCAGATACAGAATCTCACTGTTACTCCTACGTTCCTTCCTTGCAGGCTCGTCTTCGTGCCTGAACTTGTACCCTCGAGACATCCAGTGGAAGACCGATATCGATACGAACATCAGCCCCGTGTAGAAGAAGAATTGGCTGTCCTGGAAGAGAAGTTTGAGAGATATAAAAAACGCTAGCGTGAAACGTTTACGGTACTTACCTATTTTTACCCGACTACGGCAAAGCAAAAGGAGGGTTATAATTTTGACAGGCTATGTTACAGTTCTCTCAACTTAAGCTGAGAATTGCATTTGTGTGAGTGCACACCGATAGTGTAGAGTGGCATTCGGCTTGAGGCGCGGCGCGTCCCGCGCATGGATTAAACCGGTTTATACCTACTAGTTTATAGCAAGCGGCCTGAGGCGCGGCGCGTCCGCCACGCGTCACTTCCCTGCCGCTCACATACTTCACTTCACCCCCGGTACTGGTAGCAGATAGACGTGTAATTTTATGTCATTGTGTTCGAAATATTAGTGAAATGGCTCCTATTGTAAGTGAATTTCCTGTACGAAAACCATTAAGCATCCAAGTGAAAGACATTTTATGCAAATTGAATAATTATTAACACAGGCTCTGACTCTGATGAGTCATCAGACGAGAGTGAAGATGAAGATGCAATGAGCGGAGTAGAAGAGTTATAAGATTCAGTCATTATGAGGTCGAGAATTGGACAGTTGGTCACATTGTGTTTTATGGACTTCCTTTTAATAAAACATTAATTTTATTTGTATGTGTTTTACTAACTGTACTTTTGTGGCGATCACTCACACAAATGCAATTCTCAGCTTAAGTTGATAGGACTGTATGTATGTATGTATGTTCATCTGTTCCCTCGTAACTTCTAAACTATTTATCAGAATTCGACAAATGACATTAGAAGCGTCATAATAATAATTGTCCGCTGATTATAGGTTATAAGGGGTTTCACAAAATCTAATGTGGCGCCCTTTAGCGGACAAAGCATACAGAGTAAAAAAAATATCATCATTTGAAAGCGTTTTACTTGTACATTTTGAATATATATATGTATATATTAGTAGCATTTGCTTGTGACTTTACCTGTATTCATGGGCTGATTGTTATAATTCACATCTTTTCGTTCATAGCTTCTTTACTACCTACTCATTATTTCATCAATTTAACTTTTATTAATATTATAAGCCACAAATACACTTTAACACCAATATAGTACAAATAATAAAAAGTAAAAAAAACTAAAACCCAACTACGACAAAAAACGACGCTGAAAAAGTATAAAACAAGATTTTCAGAATACTGAACTGAACAAAGTTGCTTATGTAGTAACATAGTAATTTTCATGTTTTAAACGTTAGGTTACGGCACTATTCCCACCTCCAGCCTATAGCAAAGATCTACTATTGGCAGCTAAAAATCTTAACCATTGATGGGCAAGGTTAAATTTGGTACATTAATAGGAAGATGATCATCACTTGGTCAGCAATCACAATGCTGTAAATCACCACATTATGCTGTCAGGAGCCTCTTTGAACGCAAACTACGAACTACATATGCCTCTGTCAGTCAGGTGACGGCGATGATGATCATGTTGCCGACCGCGATCACTTAGATGGTTGGCAGTCCACAACAGTACGTTTCTCTAGAAACTTCCTGCCCCGTACAACCAAACTGTGGAATGGACTGTCGTCTGCGGTGTTTCCGGACGGATACGACTTGCAAGCTTTCAAGAGGAGAGCGTATCTTCACCTTAAAGGCCGGCAACGCACCTGTAACGCCCCTGGGTCTGCGGGTGTCTATGGGCGACGGTAATCACTTAAAAACAGGTGATCCGTCTGCTCGTTTGCCTCCTGTCACATAAAAAAAAAGCATCCACACCGCTGACATCACCACCTTATGATACCAAAAGCCTCTTTAACCTAATGCTACTTCTGCCAGTCACAAACCTGTCGGTAGCCAGCCAGCATCCTTGTGACGGCGATGATGATGACGTTCCCGACTGCGTTGGTCAGCATCCATACAGCTGACATCACTGCCTTCATGCTGTCTGGTGCCTCTTGGAACGCAAACTACGAACTACTTCTGTTGGTCACATTACCTGTCGGTAACCAGCCAGCATCCTTGTGACGCCGATGATGATGACGTTGCCGACGGCGTTGGTCAGCATCCATACAGCTGACATCACTGCTTTCATGCTGTCTGGTGCCTCTTTGAACGCGAATTCATTGCCCGTTACCGCGAACAACACCTAAAATATTAATTTATTTATTTATTTATAGAAACCAACAGCGATACATTGAATATGTTAGTTATAAGTTTAATTTATGACTTTTTTAGAGTAAAAGAAATGTATTGAAACTATGTGACACAGCTATTTCTTGGGACGTAATATGGAGTAGGCTCATGAACACAGAAAAAATATTTTGAAAAATATTTCATTGACCAATACAAAGAATTCAACACATGATGGAAGACTCTCCATACAATTTCTGATGTCCTATTTCACCCTCATTCTAGTAAGTATTTTTGCGACAAATGGTAGCCTTTCCTTCGCCAAATTTTCCCTCATCCGAATTAGTATTTTACTACAAATCATAGTCTACCCTAAAAAATATACAGCGATTTTCCCAAACCGCTAAAAATAAACAATAAACAAACTAACAGAGTTTACTTTCGCGTCGGTTATTTTTGGAGGTAAATAAATTAATTCGTTTGGAAAGCTACAATTTATTTCGCTATTTCATAGTTACTTTCACTGAAAGTTGTTTAATAGCATCTCATTACGAAGTTTTGAGGGCCGTTTTCTAAACCCTATCGACCGTTTGACCGCCAATCAGACCCAATCAGTCAAGGTTGGGTGGTCCCGGAGGAAACCTAAACTATCTTGGGACTAAATTAACCAAAATAGAGCAAGGAATGCTATTATGCATGCATGTCCCAATTTAAAGAGCATAAATTTTAATATTAACAAGAGAAGCCACGATAGCCGAACGGTGAAGGGATCGGACGGGCCAACTCGAGATCCGAGGAACGCGGAAATTCCAACGCCGCTCGACTATTGTGGTGAGCCCACTCGTAACACAAGCATATTTAGCTTACCACGAGGGGACTATTAATAATTTGTGCAATACAAATTACTAATAATCTAGTTAAATTAAAAAAAATGGTTTATATATGTCACCGTAAAATTGTGAATTCCGTCAGATTACAATCTGACGTAGTTAAATTACAATCTAACCTAACCTAACCCACTGTTAGTTTACAATCTAACGCGTTATAATATAAACTGACAGAGTTCATAATTTCACGTTGACATATATGTATAATTCATTGAAATTCAGTAGGTTGGCTTTCAAAAAGTATTTTACTCGACGTTAATATAAATCCCTACTACTGTTTTAACATAGGTTTTACCCCAGACATCAGACAACACATCAAGCTGCTCAATATAGAATCTTAAATAGAAGTAATAGATACGATTTTGCGACAATAATGTAGCCGATTATTGTTCTTACCTCAGCTGTAGACATGATCAGGAATTGTGGCAACAGAAAGGCCATAGATATTGAGTTTGCTTCGGTCAGCACTAAAAATGATGATTTCTGTAACAAAGTTTAAATTATTCTTTTATTTTCCTATATTTATAACTATTCAGCATACAAAAACGAACGAATAATTCGTAGTTACTACGACGAAGTCTTGCTACGAGATCTACACACATCGTAGCAGCTACGCGATCTACACAAATCGTAGCAGCTACGAAAAGGTCCTAAATCATCTCTCAGTCTCATACTGCCACATAATAATATCATTTTCACAATTTATTTATGCCAAGTCGGCAGGTGGCAGTGGCTTTACGACTTTATTGTTATCATGATAATCTCACAATAAATATTAATAGGTAATATGAACATTGAACAGTACACGTATTAAATTGAGATTCAAAGATATGAATTTCCTGACATGTCAGTTATTTCAAGCTAGCCAATATGTTGCCTTTTTGTCTAAGTCCACTGTATTTTTCAGGCCTTTTACAGCGCGATCCCAAATAAACACACACACAGCAGGCTATGCACAAAGTTAGGATGACAGTTGTAATTCCAAAATCTTTGACTGTGACGCTTTTTCGTACCTTTAAAATTACTTCGCTTTGTGATTGTGAATCGATTTCAAAATTAAAACTGTCACGAATACCCCTGAGCTATATGAATATTCGTTACCTAATATGTTTGCATACATCACTCACAAGTTCCAATATCCACTAATATACCACGTAATATTTTTCACTGAAAATTGGCTACACTCTCTGAATAACAAGTCAACTCGCGCCAATCAATAATCAACTTCTAAATAAACCACTCACGTATTGACTCCGCCCCTTATCGACCAATATGGTGTATACCCCACCGCTGAGCATTTCAATCCCACTGTCCACGAAGTCGTTGCCCGCGAATAAGTCATATTTTCCCGAGAAAACCTCCATTTGTGAGGACACTCTCCCACTAATGTGGGACTCTACCATATTCCCTTTGATCAGCGTCACGTTTTGTAGGACCCGGCTTGTTAGGAGAAACCTGCAGAAAAGTATTATGAAAATAATAATAATACGATAGCCCACATTGCAAAAAATAACATAATAGGGATGATGACTGGGCAATGAAATCGAAATTCTATTTAGTCCGTTAGACAGATAATTATAAAATATTACACTCATATTTTTGATTTTTTTCCATAATCGAATAATTACAGTATTATATTGAGTTGAAATGTCGCGTGACGTCACTTTTGAGTAAAAATTCTTACTCAATAGTGACTTAACGCGCCATTTCATATCGATGTAGCACTGTAAATTGTTTAATTATGAATGAAAATAAAAAATATGAGACCAATATTTTCTAATTATCTGTCTGACGGACAAATAATTGAAATTTAGTCATCTAGCCTTTTCTGCGAAGAAAAATAGTACTCGTATAATAGACAAAGGACTTAAGATATAACCTAGAACCCAGTCGTAATAACTACAGTAATTTGTTTGTCAAGTGTTTTTCACTTCAAGGAAATTTATTTCTTGGAATTGGAAGCAAATTCTAATAAATATTTTGGCAGAAAATTACCATATTGTTGGTAGAGTTGGAATTGTGATGTAATTAAATTACGCTGCTTCAATTTGGAATTGAAAAATTAATCAGGACTTTTTCATTCAATTACTAATCTTAATTTCTTTTACAACCAAAACAGTTTTTTATAAGGTACCTAGGTAACTTTTACACTCGTATGTATTATTTACTAGCTGACCCGGCGAACTTTGTTCCGCCTTAATGGCAATAAATAAGCAGACTTTTTTTTTAATTTCGAACGGGATAAAAAGTATCCTATGTCCTTCTCCTGGCTCTAAACTACCTCCCTGACAATTTTCAGCTAAATCGGTTCAGCCGTCCTTGAGTTATAAGCGAAGTAACTAACACGACTTTCTTTTATATATATACTAGCTGACCCGGCGAACTTTGTTCCGCCTTAATGGCAATAAATAACGGGATAAAAAGTATCCTATGTCCTTCTCCTGGCTCTAAACTACCTCCCTGACAATTTTCAGCTAAATCAGTTCAGCCGTTCTTGAGTTATAAGTGGAGTAACTAACACGACTTTCTTTTATATAATAGATAGATTTCCATTTGAATACACTTTTGTGGCTTCATCACTATTATCGGATAAATCTTCATTAAAGGGCTATCATTTTAATAATCACATATTACAGTAAATTTTCAATATGCATTAAATATGTTGAATTTTTTGGTACCAAATAAATGTCTTTTTTCTCTTTCTTTCAAATGAATACTTAAAGGAATTTTCAGCAATATAATCGTGTTCCGTGACAATTCCAAAAAGAAAATTAGAGCAGAAAATTGTGCAAATTCCTAACGGAATACATGGGTAGAATTTTGTCGAAGAGGATTAAACCAAATCCGATCGGTCGAGCAGCGCCTTTTTGGTACGGCGGCGTTTTCCGCCCCATCGCACCAACGAAGGCTGATGGACAGTGGCAGTCAAGGTTTGGAAGCTCAGATCAGCTTAACAGTTTAATTCCAGTCGATATCTTTGCGACTTTACGAGAGTTGCTACAGGCTAAGAGAGTAAAACTACTACAGGTAAACAGGAATTTTTAATTTCGAACTCCTGCTATGTTCTTCTGATTAATTTCGTTGCGGATCCAATGACAGTTTAACTTTCCCCCGGGACAAACTTGACCTTCATTTGCTGGGTTTTTATGGCGGTCAAGCTGTGATCCTGGCTACACAGGAGTTGCAGTGGTGGGAACGAGAGGTGGGAATAGTCAAAAAACTGTAAATCTAACACCCGTATTCATAAACGATACTTGCTTATGTGAAGCTGCAAATCGAACGCACAGTGTCAGTGTCACCCTGTGCGTCCATGCGCACTGTGAGACCACATAGTAATGTTTGTGAATACGGGAGTGAAACTAAATGCGGTCGTTTTGTCTGTCGGTTAAATGGTTTCGTAACCGTTTGAGTTATAAGTAATTGCTTCACGTAACGAAGTAGCTATAACATAACTCATTAGGTAACTAAGTAATTTGAATCTGTTACGGATTTTAATTCGTCCAGTTGAACTTGGTTTAGTACCTTAAGAGCGCTTTCACATTTAAGGCGATTTAGCAGCGCGACAAACGCGCGACAGACGCGCTACCGAAAATTTCATACTATGTGACAGCGGATGCATGCCTTCACATTATAAAAACGCCGCTGCCGCGCTGCTGTCGCGCTACTAACGCCCTAATGTGAAAGTGCTCTAATTCTCGTTAGATTAATCTCACCTATGCACATAGAAAGTTTCTATAACAATCAATTAAGTAACTCCAAATTCTACCCTATATTTACCCTCATCCGTTTCTAGGTGATGCTGATTGAGATATTTGCGAGAGATAATTTACTAGGGTTGTTTGACTGGGGTTTTATTATGTATTTAGTAAGTTATCCATATAATAAAATAAGTTTACATAGCCCCACTGACTCGTTAAGTTCCACATTGTCGGAATGGGGCCGTGGCGGCCCTATAAGGCTGAAAATAAGGTCGATTTCTTCGAATGTGCTTGGAACTTTTTTACACCAGGATTTTTTTTTAATAAGAAAATAATTTAATCGTTTAGCATTTAGAGTAAGTTTCGAGCCTCCGTAGATTATGTACACACTTGTTATACAATTGACTCGAAAAGACTTGAAAGTGTTCTTTGAATTTCACAAACTCTGTCGACTGTTTGTTAAAGTTGATTAAATCGCGAAGACCTGGTTATTTTTTTAATGATAGAGAAAGTTTCAATTTCTACGCAAATACTTAATACTAAAGAAATTCTGTAAACCAATTTTCTATGAAATACGTTTTATAATAAACAAAACATTTGAGCATTGGATACCTAGAAAACTATGTTATAAGAAGATCAGTATGTTTCATTATTTGTATGAATAACTACACAACCTACCGCCTACGTATTATTAAAGTCAATGGCCTTAACAAACATAGTTCTAATCAGTTCTCCAAATAACTTACATTCAAAATCTACAATACTAATTTTCACTGAAAAGTATAATACAAGAACAATGAAACTCACAGGTAAAGAAAACTTAGCTAAATCAACTTACCGAACCACAGGCAGTCCGGATCTACTTTTATCAACGTTGTCCTCAAATCTGTGCACAGAGTTTCCATCCAAAAAGAACGATACAGCTTTATTCTCTTCTAGAAGGAACATCTCCTTCTTAGGCTCTATGCAACTACCTCCCAGTTCTATGCTAATGTATTCTGTGTTGTTTATTTTGATGTCCCGTTTTGTGAATTGAGATAGCGGGGGTAGAGTGTATGTAATATTGTATGGGACGCTGTGAAGGGAGACTGAACAATTGTTGCCGTTCAAGATCCGTAGTTGGGAGTAGCCTTGGTGGGGAAGGTGGGGGTAAGTGGTCTGCAAGGAAAATAATTTAATTGATAATTTTGGAAATTACTAGGGAAATCATATTTGACCCAAAATTGTCTATTTTCACCATCTTACATTAACAAACGACAAAAATTAAAAGCACCGGTTATTGTTGCGGTTAAAATAAGGTGGTGCAACTCAGCTTTAGTGTATTTTATTCTTACTGCAAATAAATACATACTTCAAAAGTTATTGTAAGCCTTGGCGCAGACCACCGATTCTAATTTGTATGAAGAATCGGCCAATATCAAATCGGTGTAATGTGCGCACTTTCATACATCTCCATAGTCATTTACAGCCCGACCCAACTATCGGCCAACTAAAAGTCGGTGGTCTGCGCCTAGGCTAACTGAATTTTCATAGATATAACACCATTCTAAGTTTATGTACCTCTAGGGGATGCTAATTTATTACAGAGCAAAACATATGGTATAGAGTCTAGACTTGTCATGAATATTTTAACACGTACTTACCCTAAGATATATTTCAACTACACCAGAGGCAATAAATGCCAAGCCAGCCAACACTCCGCCCAGTGTCAACTTATGGAGGGGATTCTTCAGGATATTTCTTTTTTCTAAGTACGGATAAATATACTGCAACAATAAACAAAATACATAAACAATAAATCGACGTTCTGAAATTAATTGCCTACAAAGCTCATAATTCTTTCATATTAATTACACTTTTTGTTCGCGTCGCGGTCACAAACGCGTCATATAAATCCTCGAATTTTTAAACCCATATTTTATTCAAAAATGTATCAATTCTCGATTTGTAACGTTAATATGAAAGTGAAAATAGTTACAGATTGTTGGTAAAAGCTTTTTTGCCTATCGTCGGAAGAAAAACGTGATGTGTAATAGATACAATGTTTGCGTAGTAGAATAAAAACACGGTGGGAAACCCTCGTGGAAACTTGACTGGTCAGAAACATCAACGGGAGGGATTTTTGAGCAAAAATTCAATAGTGTATGACTAAGATTTATCACGAACTGAATTTGACAATAGAAGAATAATGAATATAGTACAACTATCTAAATTACCATCTTCATTATTTATTTAAATAGACATATACTTTTATCACAAAAAAAATGAAGTGGTATTTTTAAAGAAAAATATAGAGCCATCGTACAGATAATAATAAAAACATGCAATCTAATGAATAATCCCGGCTAATCTTCAGTAGTAAAATGAATAATTATATAACTTTTTATTTTATTTTAAATAAGCAATCGCCATATCATAGAGGATTTGTTTTTTCACGAGGAATGGCCGTACGTAACCCTCTAAGCAGCTTACAGCACAACGTACTGAAATAACAAACGCAGGATTACCTATTGTTCTATGTGGTACACGTGAATTCCAGAGCCTATACAACCAATATCGGTGATTTGGATTTTATCTGTCTCGTTCTCTCTCTATGGGTTGTGATAATGAGTGAGTGAAGTAGAGTCGAAAATACGGAAATAATTTCTTGACGTAAGTCCGAAATAATGATTAAGATTGTCTATAGGAAAATAGGCTTGGTTTTCACGAAGAGTCCCTTTGTCATAAACTATACCATTAATCCGCTTACTAATAACAATTACAGTTCGATTTTTTTTTTCAAGTTATTTTGAAAATAATTACTCGTTAGTTGCCATCATTAAAAATACTCGTAAATTAAGTAATTAAGTTCGCCTTATGTACAAATTTATTTTGGCATTAAAGTTTAAATAAATCCCCACTCTCCTCCTGTGAGCTTCCCGTGCAATGTTAGTAACAGAGTATTACTCATATATTAACATCAATAAGTCGTTATTACAGGCTGATTGATTGCTTCTAGTATTGACCAAATTAATATATTATGACGGTTAACGTTCGCGAATGAGGAAATGTAGGCTGATATTACGAGTATATCATAAGGGCCTTTATTTATTCGTTAATCGTGCTCTTATTCTATCTAACACGATAATATAATATTGTAACTTCTAATAGGTACCTACTCGTATTGAAACAGTCAATGACTATTGTTTAACCTATTTTACCAGAATATTGTTCTGTGTAATTTAACTGCTGTGAAATCGACACTTCATTATGTACCAGAGAAATTATAGGTAATATCTATACACACAAGTAGGAAGCTAAAAGCACCTGGTTGCGGACAGCGCAGGACCGCTCGTTGTGTGAATCATTGGTCTAGCAGTGGACGTCATTTGGTCGAAACAAACGCCACAACCTAACTTAGCACCAGCACTTAGGTGGACCGACGACCTCATAAAGGCGCTGAATGCAGACCACTACCAACCGGGCGATGTAGAATTCAAACAACGGTGGCTGAAATGATAATGACTCGTAACTTCGAATTGCATGAGATTATGTATGTCGTCCAAATAACTGAAAGTTACAGTGGACTGGCTAATCCGGCGCCCCCTGTAATCCGATATTATGTATTTTTTGTAATCTATAGGTACTTATAATAAATCTGTAGAGAGGTCAATTCTGTACATGAAATATATTTTCAAAATAACTATCAGGGAGTGATTAGTGATCGATACTGATGCCAAAAATGCAATCAGTAAAATTTTTGTCTGTCTGTCTGTATGTTCCTTATAGAAACAAAAACTACTTGACGGATTTTAACAAAACTTAGTACAATTATTCTTCATACTCCTGGGCAGGTTATAGTATACTTAGGAATTCCCACGGGAACGGGAATTAGCGGGAAAATCCTTTTGTATGAAAAATTTAAACCGCTTAAGTTAGACGCTTGAAATTTGGCATGCAGGTACCTTAGTAAACTTAAAGCTTAGTTACAACATGATATTGCAAAATTCCCACGGGAACGGGAGTTAGCGGGAAAAACATTTGTATAAAAAAATCTAGGCCGCGTAAGATAGATGAAGGGGTAAAACGGGATCCACGCGTACGAAGTCGCGGGCGGCCGCCCGCAAGTTTGTAAAATAATTCCCGATTTTAGGTGGTCTTATAGTCCGACAAAACCGATAATCCAACACCGCACCGTTTCTCGGATTACCGCAGGTCCGTTGTTATCTAATATCTATACAACTGTATAACTGTCACTTCTTAGTTCTTACCTTTTGCGCCAAAGGGATGAGTATCAGTATGCCTATAGGGTTGAGCACTTGCATCTGGTCTGGCTTGATCGTTATGTACCCGAGGCGGCCGTCCATCTTGGCAGCCTGCAGCGTCCACCGCGAGCCCTAGAATAACAGCTTTTTACTACCTGTGGAACTATAAACGTGGTGGCCGTTAGCATTTATATTTACCTAAAGGTTATAAAATCTGAAATATCACATTTTACTTGCACAAATTACCTTAAATACAGCAGTCGACTGTCATCCATCATCATCATTTCAGCCACAGGACAATAGGCCATAAACATAGGCCTCCCCCAATGACTTCCACATCGTACGGTTAGTAGCGGTCTGAGTCCCGCGCCTTCCTCTACCTTTATGAGGTCGTCAGTCCACCTTGTGGGTGGATGTCTAACGCTGAATTTTCCGGTACGTGGGCTCCACTCCGGGTTAGTAGTAGTTTCGCACGAAATTTGTTCGCACGAATGTGCGTAACGTCCCACTTTCAATAAAAAAAAATTTTAGTAAGGGTTTCGCCCGGATTTATTAAAAGTAAATCGCGTGCGAATCGACTCCTTCGAGAACTAGTAATCTCATACTACTAGTTCTCGGTAGAATCGATTCGCACGAGATTTTAATACATCCGTGCGAACCGACTTCTAAAAAAATATTTTAATTAAAACAGGACGTTACGCACATTCGTGCGAACAAATTTCGTGCGAAACTACTACTAACCTCCACTCCACCTTGCTGTCCCATCGGCAGTCAGTTCTGCGTACTATGCGCCCTGTCCATTGCCACTTCAGCTTGCAGATTAGCTTGATCCGCTTGGACTGTCATTGGTTAAAATTAGTTACCTTTAATAACTCACCATTTGATCCAACAAAGCCCAGAACACTGGCAACACCGAGAACAGCGTGAGAATAGACAACGTCTTCTTGATGTCCTTGATGAACCGCGTGTCATACTTGTGCTCTGTGGTGTCTAACCAATGACTACCCTTCTCTCTCTTGCTGCTTCCGATCAGAGTGTTCCTGATACCGAGCTGAAACGAATAACTAAGCGTTCGATTAGAAAGAAAGAAAAGATACGTTTATTACAGAAAGAAAAAAAGAAAAGAAAGATAGTTATACAGTGTGAGTCACGTTAAAGTGTACATATGAAAATAGATAAAAACTAGACCTATTTTTATCGACAAAAAAATGGTCAAAAATTTTTTGAGATTTTTTTTTAATTTTTTATAGAATTTTTTTTTCTTCCAATTACTTATTGTAAAGAAAACTCAATAACTTTTAAACTAAGCGGTATATCCTAATAAAATAAAAACGGTAATAATGCTAAATAACAGGCAATACTGAAAAAATACATAAAATACCCAGAAAATGCCAACAAATAATAAAAAATGTGACTTTTTGAAAAAAATCTGCTTAAAAATTCGTATTTTTTTGGTTATTTGATAAATTTCTCAAAAAAATGCCACTATAACAGGTGGTTTTTATTACTTTGTATTATTATCTATCGTATTATCTTTGTAAAACCAAAAATCGCATGTCTCTATCCCTATCACATTTGCTATGATCGTTTGAACAAAGGCCTGCCACAAGATTATTCTCCGCTACAGGTAGAGACAATTTTAATTTTAACTTAAATGCTTATTTTACTTCAAAATCTTTATGAAAATTACAAATCTAGAGCCATTTTCAGTTTCGTTGTTAACGAAGCGTTGAATGGCGCGCCCAGAGAGGCTTAGTTCAAACAATCATTGCAAACGTTGTGATAGGGATAGAGACAAGCGATTTTTGGTTTTACGAAGGTGATACGATAGAAAATAATACAAAGTAATAAAAACCACCGGTTATAGGGGCATTTTTTGGAGAAATTTATCAAATACCAAAAAAAACACGAATTTTTAAGCAGATGTTTTTCAAAAAGTATCATTTTTTATTATTTGTGGGCCTTTTTTGTGTATTTTATGTAATTTTTTAGTATTGCCTGTTATTAAGCATTATTACTGTTTTTATTTTATCAGGATATACCGCTTAGTTTAAAAGTTATTACGTTTTCTTTACAATAAGTAATTGGAAGAAAAAAATTTCGATAAAAAATTAAAAAAATATCTCAAAAATTTTTTGACCTCTTTTTTGTCGATAAAAATAGGTTTAGTTTCATCTATTTTCATATGTACACTTTAACGTGACTCACACTGTATTGTTAGATTAATCCTCTTTTTTTGGTGATGGCAACCCAATCTCTAACTTATTCATTTCTGCTAATGTCGAGTATAGTATAATAATTAAGCCGGTATTGATGTAAATTTTAGTATTATAATACGAGTTTATCAGTTTTATTGGCTTCCAATTCTTCTACATCTCTGGAGATGTCTTCCCTTTATAATCAAGAAATAAATCAAATCGAGCGAATCGATTACATGACAACGTCGACATCGAATTTAACAGTCATTGAAACAAACACGTTTACACCTTGCTACCTATTCTACAACCCTCTACATAATCTGCACTCTTTGCTTTTGCAAGCTATCCTGTGTCTAAAATAAACTTGACATAGTGTGAGAGCAATCTAAACGCAAATATTATGAAAATAACTTACGGCTACACAGCTCGTAAAATCCAATACGACGTTTCCCTCAGGCTTTTTCAGCACGTATCGACTTTTGGCACTCACGAAAATTACTGTAAGCGAGAGCAAACGTACATTTTCCAATTGAAATGCTACGTGAAAAGTTTTCCTCGTATTTTTTACTTCAGTTACTTACTAATTTTAAACTGAAAATTTCTTGTATTTTACAAAAACTTAAAAAAAGTAAGCTTAAAAAAATTGCATCATTACCTAAATCATTACAGAATTTTATTACAACTAAGGCTGAGTTGCACAATCTTAACTTTGACCGTAACAAACGGTCTTGTTGTACAAACATAGTTTGACAGATTTTTGATGTTTGTCAAAGTTAAAGCAGGCCTGTTCATCTCCGCGAGTTTACATCGAAAACAAAACACGCACGATGGCCCACCTACAGGATACTATTCGACAAGGCCTCCCTCACATACGAGCGAACATTGACTCACGCACGCGTATTCTTGTGTATGATGGAAGAAAATAAAGAAAATGGTGTACTAAATACTGTGCAGTATTTAACTGCCTAAATAATAATAAAAACACAGAATGTACTTTTTTAAGTTGCCTCAAGACACTGAGAGGTAAATAAGTAGTTAACATTATTCATGATAATTCATGCTAAATCATGTATTTCCTCCGCCATTTTCCGCAGTTTGGCACCTCACGTCACATCATTTTACCGAAGTCAGCCCTATAGCTTCGGCGCAGTGCCGATCACTGACGTTTGTCAACAAAATGGTGCTTGACTCTTGAGACAGGCTAAATTACACCATATTGTTAATGACATTGAGCATACATTTTTTTAAATACCTTCGCGAAGTAAAACTTCTGTACGTAGTACTTATTATTATTCTGTGGTTAAAGTAAGATGGTGCAACTCAGCCTAAGATGTCCGATCAAATCCGTTTACCAAAAAAGATTGTTGGAGTATAAAAATAAATCTTACCAACAGACACCAGAACGATCAGCCCCGGAGCACCAAACGCCAAGGAATAACAGTCTTTCTCCCCAAAGCAGTGAACTTCAGACCTCAATATAGGTGATATTGTCTTCGCTATCAAGCTGCCCATACACAAATTAAAGTATAATATACTGAAGTACAAGGCCAGGTGGTTCTCTTGTTCTGGCAGTTTGAACTGGTCACCTCCGAAGGCAGTGACGCAGGGTTTTATGCCCCCAGTGCCAACTGTGATCATGAAAAGACCTAGCAGGGTGCACAGTCTGAAAGAAGATAGAAGTCTTATTAGTAGTGGTACGTCACCTAAATCATGACTTTCAAAGGTTCCATACGGGCGTATACACAAACATTACTATGAGGTCTCACGCATGGACGAACAAGGTGACACACGAACCAATCACAGAGCTCTATTCAACGCTGCGCGTTCGATTTGCTGCTTCACTTAAGCAAGCATTGTTTGTGAATGCGGGCGATAGCATCTTGATATGCTGTCGAACTAGCAACTTAATATATACTATATAATTCCACTAAATGTAATGACCTAACCAAACCGGGAACATTTACCCAAATAAATCAATCGATATGAATTTCCTATACGGGATTCGAACCTAGCTAAAGTTGGTTACGACAGACGATTACGGAGGCATCGCCTAGTAACAATGAAAAAATAAATCTGAAAGATTTATTAAAATAAATAGTTCTTACCTTGCAGGCAGTCCCAGCTGGGGTATAGCGGTGATAGCAACAAGGGCATTGCCTGCCGCGTACACAAACATCATGTATAAAATTGTCCTGAAACCAATATGGTAGAGTTACCGGCTAAATCACACATCGTATAGGTAGGTATAACCACAGAATAATAATAAGTACTACGTACAGAAGTTTTACTTCGCGAAGGTAATTAAAAAATATTATGCTCAATGTCACTAACAATATGGTGTAATTTAGCCTGTCTCAAGAGTCAAGCACCATTTTGTTAACAAACGTCAGTGATCGGCACTGCGCCGAAGCTATAGGGCTGACTTCGGTAAAACGATGTGACGTGAGGTGCCAAACTGCGGAAAATGGCGGAGGAAGTACATGATTTAGCATGAATTATCATGAATAATATTAACTACTTATTTACCTCTCAGTGTCTTGAGGCAACTTAAAAAAGTACATTCTGTGTTTTTATTATTATTTATTTAGTATTCAGTACACCATTTTCTTTATTTTCTTCCATCATACACAAGAATACGCGTGCGTGAGTCAATGTTCGCTCGTATGTGAGGCCTTGTCGAATAGTATCCTGTAGGTGGGCCATCGTGCGTGTTTTGTTTTCGATGTAAACTCGCGGAAATGAACAGGCCTGGTATAACCTAAATGAAAACTCTAACAGTAAGGCTGAGTTGCATCACCTTACTTTGACCGTAACTATAACGATAACCGGCGTTTTTTGTATGGAGTTTAGACAGATTTTTGACGTTTATCAATGTTAAAGTAAGATTGTGAAACCCAGCCTAAAATGTTATTACCTACTCCTGTAGTTTATTCCCACGTTGGAACTTTGGAAACCTTAATATGGCAAAAGTTCCAAAAGGTTCTAGAATGTTCTGAGGACTAGTAATTAACCTTGAAAACTTTGACTCATAATAGTTTCAAACTTTGTACAACTGAGACCAAACAACTTATCCATTAGATGAAACATTTGAAATGTAAACAAACTTTATAATAACAAAACAAAAGTGGTATTCGTTAGGCACATAGCAGTTTGTTAGAATAGTCAAATATTGTTGCGTAAAAATGTACAGTCATAAATCCACGTGATTGCTATCGGTGTTAGTAAGGAAGAAATATAGCATTTTTCAGAAGCGAATATTTTTTGTTATATCCAACGGAGTTATAACTCAGTGTCCAATATTTCAGTTGCAAGTTGTATAGTTTCAAAACATAGTAGATAATGGAAAGACAAATTAACAGACTATACAGGATGTCCAAAATTAGCACGTCACACTAACATGTACCTGAGTAGGTAAGCCTAAGGCCCAGAACAGACGGTGAAACGCAACTGCAACGAAACTGCAACTGCTAGTTACTTTTGAGTTGCATCTAAGTTTCTGCCATAGCGTCCGTTGAGAGACCACACATGACGCGACCAGTTTGAAACTTTCAGTTTCAATTTCATTCATCAAAATCATCAGAAAGTTGCAGTTGCGTTCCACCGTCTGTTCTGGGCCTTAGACGTATCAAACAAGTCTATTAAAGTCCATTTTTAAAAAAGACAATCTAACTTTCTCAAAACTCATGAAACTTTTCTAAGGACATAAATTAGGCTTGTTCGATGTCTCTTAGGTCCAACTACCTCAATTATTGTCAGTGTGACGTTCTATTTTTGGGACATTCTTCTTATTTTTACTTTGGATGCTTATAAAAATACATAAAATGGCACACTATAACAGCTAATTAACTTCAAAATATGGTAGCAACGACAAACCCACCACCAAATATTAGGGTTAAAACTGTTTTTTTTTTTGGGTTAGTAGTCGTTTCGCACGAACGTGCTAACGTCCCCTTTTAATAATAATACGCACACTCGTGCGAACGAATTTGATATGAAACAACTACTAACCCTTTTTTTTAACCAACCCGTGTAAGTTAATAAAACATTCTCATAATTCAAAGAGGTATCTACCTGTATTTTCCCAAATAGTTGTCGGCCACAATCCCACCCACGAAAGGAAAAACGTACACTAATGTGCTGAAAATATGATACGTTTCTGTAGCTCCATCGTCTGTGTAACCGAGCTTGCTGCGCAGGTACAGTGTGAGGAAAGCTGAAAATTAATTATAAAAACTATAGCTCACTCGAAAATTGGCAATGTTAAAAGTAGAGTATCGACTCTATGGACGCAAACATAAGGTCTGCATTTGGAATACCAGTCATCTCCGTTTGGATACCTTAAGATTGCAATAGTCATAGTAGTGAGTAGTTTAGCAATCGCCTCTATGGTCCCAAAACTACATTTGTATTTTTGTACTACGAGCAAAATGCTGTTTTGTCAAGGTGTGGACACAATATTATAGAGACTGACAAAACCAAATAAGATGAATGTTTAACTAAAATAACGAAGAATGAAAATTATTGTGTTTAACAGTAGGTACTGCTTCTGAAGTAGAGTCAATTTTAGTGAAACGAGAGCCAAAACTTGGCTGATAATGCAAACTTTTATTATGATGTACTTATAGCTGCTAGTGCAAACCTTATGCCAAATCAGAAACATTTCCTCCTGATCTGCAGTTAAGCAAAAACATCTCAAACTTACGAAGCAAGACTCCTTAAATAACGTACCAAGAAATAAAATTCTATTGCAACTACATTTATAAAACAGAACCATCTAAAGGAGATGGCTTCTAGCGATAGAGCTCCTAAATTGTGTTGCTCCACATACGATCGCTTTAAAATTGTTTACTTTGTATGGTGTATAAAAAGACTCGAATACAAAATACACATGAATAACCCGGACAACGATATTATTTTTCCAAAACGGTATAGCTTCAAAGAATTCGCTGTTGTTTTCCTTGATTAAGTCGGTGTGGCGAAAAAATAACCACCCGCTCCGAAAGATAAGGGTGAACGCAATGTGAAAGCAACCCTGTGCTATGGGAATATGTACCTTTGTGTTACATTTTTGATATAACGTTCCAGTTCATTTTGCATGATTACACACAAGGTACTTAATTTGATTCTAAAGTTTATCAGTGGCTTTAAAAAATGTTGTAGATACGGCTTATGAAACGCGCACGCTCAAAATTTTGTTAAAATTTCTGAATTATTCTGAACCTTTACTATTATTTATTATTATTACAAGCTTTATATTGACTTCACTTGTTAGTATGTGTGGGACAAATCTTGCAACTGAATTTAAGACCAGTTCTCCTCAACCGATTGAGCTGAAATTTGGTATACTTATGTAAGTACGATGACAATGCAATATTATGGTACCATTGAGCTGGTCTGATGATGGAGTCGGGAGGTGGCCATAGGAACTCCTAAACAAAACGGCGGAAACTCATCGAATTTGGGTTCGTTGGATTTGTCTTTTCGAGCACTTTAGTGTAAGATAATGTCCAGGGTCCTGAGATTAAGATATAACTAAAAAGTGTAAAATAAAATTATAATAAAAATAAACTTTTTAAAAACAAGCTTTTATTCTGAATCTCGAAAGCTTGTAGCGCAAACAGAGAAAAAGAGGAATAAATTCCATGCGCGATACAAACTTTCGAGATTCAGAATAAAAGCTTGTTTTTAAAAAGTTTATTTTTTTTTTTTTGAAATTTATAAATAACTTGAAAAAATCGAACTGCCTAAGGCGGGAATTGAACCCACGACCTTCCGCTTGCCGGGCGACTGCTCTTCCAACTGAGCTACTTAGACACTGGATGAACCCGTCGAAATTTTCAAGTGTAATACGCTGTTACGGCCAGCGACTCTTAACGCTAAAAAAATTAAATAACTAAGTTTATTTTTATTATAATTTTTTTAATTTTACATTCAACTAATGAAAAAAAGTTACGTTATTCTACAGAGATAACTACTAATTGACGTGGCGCCCAATGTGAAACGTCTTGTTTTCCCATCATGAAAAACGCTTTCCATTTTCAAACTTTAACCATTTTTACGCAGTGTGAAACCTTTCTTTGTAACTAACTACATAAACGGTTCATTACACTTTACAAGTTGGAAACTTTCATCTGTTTTCCGACAACTTACCTCGCATGCCCGAGTACGAGAACCTTTCACAAAACTCCGCCAATATTATGAAGGCCACTATAGTCGGGAACCGATCCTTGCGCTGAAACAAAGGCCTGATTAAAGGACTTACACTTAGCGACCCGGAAACGGATCGTAACCGTTTCAATTCGAGCCGGTCAGTGTTCTTTAAATGAACACGTGTTTTTCCCTACACAATCAACAAAAACTTGTCAACATTCAATATTTTTTGTAGGAAATTTTGTTGAATGTTGATTGTGTAGGGCAAAACACGCGCTGGAGACCGCGTTTTAGTATCCGCACCGTAACGTAAACACCCCGCCTCGCGGCGAAAGGCGACACTGTATTAAGCCCTTTCCGGGTTGATAAGAGTGCTATTGAGCTTTATACTGAAGGCTAATTGAAACTTTAATGAACTGTCAGCTATCGCGAAAAGTTAATTGGAAATCTGTAATAAGTCCGTAAGAATTTTAACGGGAATTCGTGGATCGGTGCCCCGTAATTTGTGGAACAGGTTGGGATTCACTTAATTATTTTCGGCACTGTATAATTAGGTACAATAATCCATGGAAAGGAAGACTTGTGAAGATGTTATTGGTTATTTATCAAATTCAAATTCTTTATTATTATGTAGTTCGACTGTACAATTAAAATAGAATATCGGTGTAAACACAACTCAAGATAACTAAACAATAAACAATCATGGTTTTAATCATAATATTAAGGCTGAGTTGCACCACCTAACTTTGACCGTAACTACATATAACGTTAACCGGTAGGTTGTATGGAATTTGACAGATTTCTGACGTTTGTCAAAGTTAAAGTAAGACGGTGCAACCCGGCCTAATTGTTGTAACAGTCTCTACAATATTTTCGTTCAATCACGCAATTTTGTTGCAAAGTATCACCTATTTCAAGTAACATAAAATGCCTCTTTCATCCGTATGACTTGTTTGGGCTCTATCACAAATATAATAGAGCAAACAAAAGTTACAATTGTTATGTGAGGAACATGCCTGTATCACGTTATTTAATTTCATTCACACTAGTTTTCTTTAGACTTATGTAAGACTAGGTAACAATATTGCAAATATTGCAACACAATTATTGAAATACAAAGTAATTATTAGTTTGTGATTATTTTGTAGAGAAGTAGATAGAACCTTTATAAGCTGTATTTTCTGTGTATACCTAGGTAATATGCTATTTACTTTTTGTCACAGAAATACTTATGTAGGTAAGTAGGTACATAAGATCATGGTTTACTTACTCGAATGTAGGTGCGTAGTAATCGTGATTCGTGATTAATTGATTTGTTTACATGATTGTCGGCTTAATGGTGTCGCCTCTAGATATAAATGGCGTACTATGCCTCTATTGGAAGTCGTGAGTCCATCAATAACAAGTCATAACAATTTATTAAGAAGTAGACAATTCCGTACGTGCGTTCGCCTTCTCATACTGCAATCGATACCCTCCAGTACCGAATATTTTGTCTGGTTAGTCGCTTTGATAGCGAATTTTTTATCAAACGTTTCCAATTTTCATCAAATTAATTGGTGTACAAAAACTGGAACAGTGTGCAATACAATCTCGCCATAAAAACCATCCTTGGACTTCAACGAACATTTAAAATAAAAGAATTGGTAAAATTAATCCAGGCGTTGTTGAGTTATGCGCTTACCAACACATTTTGCGGTTCATTTTTATATTATGGATTATGAGATTAAATATCATAATAATTAGGTAGGTAATGTAATTGCATGTAAACAGTTCTTTATTTTGGCTCTGTAATCAAATAAATTACATCTACAAAAGCCAAAAGAGCAAATAAATAAAACTAATTATCTTTATTGAAAAGCGATTGACAGGCGTAAAGGAAAGTAATCAATCATTGCGTCTTGTTTGGTCATTATTTGTTTAGGTTCTTGATGGACCACGAGCAAATAGCGAGATAATAATACAGCGATTTATGTGTTTACGTCAGTAATAGGCTCTACTACGAGCCTGATTTCAATAAATTCGTCTACACTTATCTTTCTCACTCATATTCATTGCTGAGATGAGTGAAAGAGAACGGATTCAGTCGAAGTTTTGACGAAAACATGTTCAGAGTGGTAGAGCTGCTAGACTAGTAATGACTTATTTTTATTTCTTGGAAAAAGAACGATTGATGTCCACGAATAACGGAATTGTTTGCCTGATAGCGAGGGCGCAGATAACGTAATTTAAAGGTAAGTCGTACTTAAACCAATAAACACAGAAATAAAGAACTGCCGGTTGTTGGTTCACTTTTGTTCTGTTGTTTCATTTGGGTAAGGAAACACGCAGTTCAAATAATTCGATTTGAATTTCATTAATCCAGTATTTTTCAGTAACTTGTAAAGTACGTTGATACTTGATACTATGGGCTGCAAAGATCTAACCAAAATTTAACTCATGTAACCTCAATTAATGGGTGCTAAACGAATAACTTTTCACTCTAACTTTTTTGAATTTACACTGATGGGTATTACAACCAAGATTGTTAATGGAGGCAAGGGTTTAAGTTCGCAAAGCAAAGCTAAATGATTTCACTTATGTACTTACTTACCCAAGAGAGATTGCAAGATATTGCAACTACATGAACTACGCAATGATATAATCGTAAACTCTTGAAAAGAAAACAAAATGACTCCAAGTTAAGTGAGCGAGCTAGAATCAGCTAATGCCCAGTAGATACCTATGAGTCTAGACAAAGTGTACAATAAAATCCCAAACCAGTCGAAAAATGGTCGAAAGGCCTTTTTTGTATGGAGTTTTGACGGATTCGATTTTCGGTTAGATCAAAAAGTGAAACTTGTCTACGGTGGCTGTTTTCACCTAAAGCATTAATTTATTTAGTTAAAATTATTATAATGTTCCAAAATATCAGTTTTTTATGACACGTCTTAAAGGTTAGGTACTTCTTGATCTTGTAACAGTGTAAACACCAAATGTTTTGTTGTTACTAACAATGTAAACAAAACACAACAAATTACACACCGGTTTCTTCCCACCGTCCTCGATCACCACAGTCTTGCGTTTCTCGCTCATTCTCACAGAATCACTGCAACTAATAAGTTAATACTACAACAGAGTCTCCTTTTATCATTTCCTAAGAACTGTTTGGTTTTCGTCACGCGAGGTAGCACCCTGCCTTCGCAGTCACCCTTCGGCGCAAATAGTCGAGAATAAACACGGTATCTTTGTACGTCGTTGATAATTTCCTCACGTTTAACACTAGTGGTGCCGTTTGGAAGTTGTTGCGTTTTTATCATAAGCACGTCGAATCGAATCATCGAATGAGTTGATTGAACTCAATCAAAAGAAATATTATTCACTAATGCCTTTGGCTTTAAAGTAAATAACAATAACATGTTACGATTCCGCTTGCACCCAGATATCCCAGAACTTGTTAGTTGTTGCGCTTGCTCCACTGAGGCTGTTGCACCACCTAACTATGACCGTGTAACTATAACGATAACCGATGTTTTTGTATGGAGTTTGATAGATTTTTGACGTTTGTCAAAGTTAAGGTAAGATGGTGCAATCCAGTCTGTATGCCGCCAGATAAAACAATCGCAACCATGTTCGTACACTATACGTCTTCACTATCGCGGTGCCTATCTGGGGGCACGGCAGTGCCCCCGCCAAGTCGAGCGCGAAGCAAACACTGCCGTACCATCCTTTACTGGAACCATTTCGCCGCATTTTCAGGCCCCTATTTGAGAACCTCTGGATAAGACCAGAACGCAGAAATTTTCGTCATCTAGTAAGCTATAATCACATACTTAAAATCCAAATTTTCAAGTCTGTAGGTCATTTAGTTCCGAAGTTAAGCGAAAGCAAAGTTTCGCATTTACGACACTCACTCACTCACTCACTCACTGTCATCAAAATAGAACTAGTACTTCCCATAAACTCAGAGAGCTGAAATTTGGTACAGAGTTAGGGTTTAATGGCCACATAAAGGGAAAACTATAAAAACTAGGAAAATCGAAGATCTGGAGTAACACCACATTCATAATCAATACTACATCGGCACCGTGGTGTTCGCCTGCCTGTATCGCTCACCGCTAGCACTAGCAAGCGGTGTCCAGATTTTTTTCCTTTCTAGAGTTAAGTTGAATGTTGTGTAATTTGCATTTCGTTGATTTCGTTTATTATTCGTAAGGTTCGCTAAGGTTATGTTATTATTAAAACAATTCTGATTCGTTGTCAATTTTAAAGGTCGTTGAGTTTATTTGTGTTTAATATCGTAAAAAAAATGTCGATAAAATGACGACGTTAAATAATTTTGCCACTTTCTACAAAAAGAAGTGAAATCCCGCCAAAAACATTCTGTAAAAAACTAGCCAAGTCTCGATGAAGCTGCATGTTTATCTCTAAAAAGTAATGAAATCTAGACAAAGTCGTGCCAAGTCTATGGTTCCTTACTGCGATTTCTTTATTGTTATAATTAATGTTGTGTGACTTGGCCGTTGAACAATCTTTATTATGATAATCATACAATAAGTATTATTGAAATACGCAGCTTTATTAAACCTACAATTGACTGGTTATTGTTGAATCAACGTTTTCCAAGTGGCAATTTTCCATCGTCAATGGGTAGCGGTTCTGGCGACAGATTGGTGCAATGGTGTTATGGAGCACTTGGTTTTGTCACCCTTCAACGGCCAAGTCACACAACATTAACTATAATAATAAAGAAATCGCAGTAAGGAACCATAGACTTGGCACGACTTTGTCTAGATTTCATTACTTTTTAGAGATAAACATGCAGCTTCATCGAGACTTGGCTAGTTTTTTACAGAATGTTTTGGTGGGTTGTCTATACCTAAAACTATCGATGAACCCTGACGTCCATCAGAAATACTCATTAAATATTATACTACAATCAGTAGTTTCAGTAAGCACTTGCAGTCAAACAGGCAAATTGCTTTTAGTAGGAAGTCATACTTGTTTACCAACTGCTTATACTTTAGGGTCAGTAGTACCACAGAATAATAATAAGTACTAGTACCCTGAGCACGAATAACGTGTAGAGTAGGAATGCCACGTACAAAAAAACGATTATGATTATGTACCTACCATACTACTTGTAATAAGAACGATATTTATTCGTGCTTCGGGTACCTACTACAGGATTTTTTGATGGAAGCTGTTTTAAACTAGATTTTTTACATAAAGACAAACCAATTATTAGTGTGTATGAGTATCTTCCGTGTTATATTTTAGGCTATGCAACGTTTAAACAATCAAACGTAACATTCCACTTCATAATATTAGTTCATAAGTTTGCGTAAATACTTACCTTATCTGTATGAAAATAAATTAACCAAACATGCGACTATTTTTACTTACATTACTAAAGTGTATGAATTACTACTACAGTTACGTAAAAAAAAGGTTCACTGACATGAGTTAGGTACTCAATTACTCATAATAATTTGTTTTAATGACCTTACGTGACATTCATTATTAGTTATCTTTGCGATCCATAATATTCAACGGAGGGGATCGATCTTACTTACTCGAAATCTAATTACTTAATTAAAATATTATGAAAGTTCTTAGGTACCTACTAATATAATTTTAAATCATAAAAATACTTACAATATTCACCTTCGCCTACTTACAAATTCCACTTGTACGCTCAAAAGCATTAATGTACCGCACATACAATTTTTTACGGACGTCGGACTACAAAAAACTACATTACCAACAACTTTTTACAAAACAATTTACACGCTTTGTACCACAGCTTTGTACGAGAGCAACGAGAAAGATAAAAACTTTTTCAAAGTTGCCGCGTAAACAAATGACTTCCTATAATATTTTTTTTGCCGTTGCATTCATTCAACCAGTTGGAGTTGGTCAATGTTTCTTGTGTCATTAAATAACTAATTAAGCATATTTTATTCATTTTATTAATAATTTTTACTTAAAAAAGAATAACTCAATAAATTCAAATTCAAATTCAAATTATTTATTTGCCTACTAAGTGTACTTACATTAAAGGTCTTATCACTAATACATGTGTGCTTATTACTAAGTTACAAAAATGAAACATAATTTGAACATTATAGAATTTTAACAACGAATGAATTGTTTCTGAACGAATAACGTTCCGTTATAAGTCGTATTTTGATAACATCAATCTATTAACATGTCCACAATTGATGACTTTAATATGTATTTTTAATATTTAATGAGCCTTTTATTTTAATAACACGGAAATTTGACATAATTTACAGCTTGCCCGCAGTCCTTGACCTTGTAACTTACAAGTTGTAAGAAAAAAGACATACATAAATCATAACAACAGTGTAAAACGGAACGTGTTATTTTTAAAATTAGTTTGACAGAAGAAGCTGGCAACGGTTTTTGTGTTTTTGTTTTGCTTGCCTGTTTTCGTTACATTAATTTATTTCAGTGGGCAGTAATTAATAGAAATTAATGTAGATTACTGTAGATTGACACTGTAAACTGTAAATCGCAGTTTCACAGCACGCGGTGGTACAATTTTTGTGAAATACTAGTTCACGACTACATGACGCGGATGGGTGTAGAGAACACTTGAAAAGTGTGATATTTCCTTGTGTATTGTAAGAAGCGGCCTGAAGTATGTCCCAATCTAGGATTCCGTCTCCAGCCCGGTCCCAGGGGGCCCCAATAACTCCTCGGCGATACAAATCTCGAACACGCAGCGTTGGCTCACCTGCTCGGTCTACCACCTCAGTGAGGCTGTCTGCATTGGCCCAGTTTAAAGAAAACAATAAGGACTCGTTTGTGCTGTCTCCAGCGCCCAGCAGACGGTCTGTGTTGAATGATGACACTGATATTGAGGAACCTAGACGTGAGTAAATTTTATAGAATTGTTTATAGTTAAATATTTACATGGCTTTCTGTTACATTATTTATCATGCTGGTTCTAAGCTAGCATCATAATTCTTGATAGAATTTGTGTATCTATGCGCATCAGAACCTAGAATTTCTGATATAAAAAAAATTTGATTCAGTCAATTATTTATCTAAATTAAAAGGGTCAAAAGTGGCACCAAGTGGTTTGTGTAATATTACACTCGGATGGCTAGCTTTCAAGATTTCCTTTTCTTGAACTTGGCTGTTGTGTGTCGAGATTTTATGTAATGAACATTAAAGAGTATCTATCTTAATATCAATTTATGTCAATATGTCATAGCCATCTAGATTTCTATATTTTCTGCAGCCATTTTCATCTTATTTTATCATTATCTTGATAACCCAGGTAGGAGCTGGTGGAGGAAACTGAACGATAACTCCAGGGATGTCATGGAGGTTCTAAACGACAATAAAGTTTTGGAGACCAATGAAGCGGTTGAAGAGTACATTGATATTGAAGTTTTAAGGTAATTTAAATCATCATTAGTTTATTATAAAAAATTTTTACAGCATAACTTGTTAAGTTTCGTCAAATTAAATCAAATTATTTTTATTTGTAAACATGGGTTTACATACAGTCTGTAATGTGTTGTTTAATGTTTGTTAAAAAAACCTTAGTCCTTACTGTTTCATTAAAGTATTTCTACATCATAAAATGAATGCCAATGAAAATTACTGACAGGCACTGAGATGTTTAGGTCACTTTGTGACTTATTTGTTTTTTAGACATAGCTACTTTTACTATGGATATTTTGTAAACCTTCCTCCTATCATAAATAAATAACATTCCTTTTATTATCTTTCAGCCAAGAAAAGCAAAACTACACATTAGATCTTCCAGACAGTAGCGATAGTGAATCCATCAGCAGCATAGTCATCGCTCAAAGGAAACTCTTTACACAGAAAGATCAAGCTCAAAACAAATTCGGCCAACTTATCGGTACTAGAGAGACTCTAGCAAAACTTCACAAATCAACTGCAGCTGACAAAACAGTCAATGTACCACCAAAAAACCTTTTTGGTCATGGAACAAGGCCTAAGTCAAAACCGGTATTTCCTGCTGCATTACTAAACTTGTCTTCAAACAAAACAGTTAATAAAACCAAAGAAAATGTCGCTGCGGAAGTCAAAGGACAGGTCAAAAGTCTCTTCGGCAACCGGGCTGGGACCAAGCGTAAGAATATGTTTGCTGACTTCATTGTGTCCGAGAGTGAAGATGAAATATCTGAAATACAACCCAAAGTGTTTGGATTTCCAAAGAAACCGGACACGAGACGTGACAGTGCCACTTCGCGAGGGAAACGTGAGCATTCGCCTACTTCTAGTATTACAACTGACATTGAAATGGAGGAGTGGAAAATGCTTCCATCTTCTACCATGGTCGAAAACCAGTTAGAGGATATGATGGCCGCAGCTAAAACTCCAGTTAAAAGACCAAGATTGAGTAAATTGCCTGACATTAAAGAAACTGAAACTAAAAGTACTGGTAAGTATTCATTATTTAAGAAATAATTATCCTTTTACAGTTCATTTTATTTATTGATGTTACATTATTCACTTATTTTCAGTTGAGCAAATTGAGAAGGAACCATCTGACGAAGAGCAAGAACTAAAATATGATGATGAAGATGATAAAAGTGAAGCAAATGATGAACAGCAAATGCAAGATCAACATGAAGTTGATGATAATGAACATGATAGTATTCAAAACAATATTTCAGCCCAACAAAATAAAAGCCACGCCACTTCGCAAAGTTTAAGCAAAGTGAAAGATAAAAACGTGAATCAGAGCAAAATACCCAGTGTAAATCAACAAAATAATGTTAGCCAGCATAAAATGAGTCCAGAAAAGAAACAAGATGTAGAAATGGAAGTCGAACTAACACAGAAACAAGATAATAATACTGTTGTCAAAAACAAAAGTCACAGAGACTCAAATGCTCTGCAAAAAGAAAAGGCTGAAGAAAGCAAGACCCAAAAGAATGATGACATCAATGTTGATCAAGTTGACAATCGTGAAGAAGGTAATGACCAAAACAAAAGTAAGAATAATCGTAATGTAAGCGTAAATCAGAATAAAGATCAGGTTAAGTCTAATGCAAGCCAAGAAAAAGGAAATGACAAAGAAGCGATTGCAGCAAATGCAAGTGACAATCTTGATCAAGATGAACAAGAGGAACTAAATGAAAACGTTGATGAAGAAATACAAGAAGAAAATGAAGATCAGATTCAAAATGACATAGAAGAACAAGAAAGTGAATCAAAGGAACCAGAAAACGACTCTGAAGAACAGAATGAAGATGTTGAATTACAAAATCAAAGCGAAATAATTGAACAAGACGAAGATAATGAAGTTAGTATGGCACAAGAAAGTGAGACAGAACAAAACAAAGACGAAATGGATGTCCAAAATGACAGTCTAGTACAAAATCATGAAGATAGTGAAACTAACGCACAAAATGAAAGTGCAGCTCAAGATCATAATGAAAGCGCACCTGAAATTCAATCTGAGCAAGAAGAAGAAGCACAGGACAGCGAACAAGAAGACGAAGAAAATCAAGAAGAGAATCAAGTTGAAAATGAGAGTTCGGCCGAAGATCAAGATAATGAAGTTGAAAATCAGAGTGAAATAGAAGATGATGATGATAGAAATGCCAGTGACGCAGAAATGGAACAAGACAGTGCTGTACAAGACGAAAACGAAGATGGAAATAACGAAAGCGCTGAAGTACAAAATGATGAGGATGCTGAAGAAAACGAAAGCGATAACGAACAAAACGATGATGAAGAAGAAGTAAATGAAACTGCTGAAGTTAATGATTCAGAAGAAGATCAAAATGAAAGTGCTGAAGTAAATGAAATGGAAGATCAAAATGAAAGTGCCGAAGTAAATGATACGGAAGAAGATCAAGATGAAAGTGACCAAGTAAATGATACGGAAGAAGATCAAAATGAAAGTGCTGAAGTACAAAATGATGACGAAGAAGATGAGCAAAACGAAAGCGCCGAAATGGATAATGATTTGGACGATGACGCTCAAAACGAAAGCGTTCAACAAGAAAGCGAGGACGAAATCCAGGACTCCAATGACCAACAACAATCTGACAACGAAGCACCTAATGAAACACACGACACAACCGGCCGCCACAGAAAGAAGAAAGATACCAATGTTAATTCACCCGAAGCAATTTTACATGACAAAACGAACCAACTCGAATCTTTTACAGCGCAAGGCCGCAACACAAGTGTAAGGAAAACCACTATGCTGAAAAATATGACTATAAGACCAAGTCTGGCCCCACCTAGAGAAAGCACGGGAATATCTGATGGAACAACCAATTCAAGCGCAGAAGGATCAGGGTGGGACTCCCATAGAACCACTAGGAAGACGCTCCGTCAAACTTTCGGCAGAGACTTCACTCCTAGAAAATCCTTACGCGCTTTGGTCATGGAGAAATCGGCCAAGCGACAAACGGCGATAAGTGAAGTGACTGCTAAGTTCCCTCAAGCTAACTCCACAGAACTCCAGCTACCTGAAGCGTCGATGGTTCCTGATGATTGTGAGATGACAGTAGAAGAAGACAGACAGGAATCCAATCATGACGTGTCGAAGCGAACAAGACAGACCACGTTGGAAATGTATTTGCAGAAGATCAAAAAACAGAACATGGAACGGAACTTAAAAATGGTGAGTTTACTCTTTATTCTTCAAGCTTTAGTATTTTTTTCTGATTCTTGTAGTTCTGATTAATTATAGTTTCCTGTTTATACTTCTTTATTGCTGCTTTTCAGTGTGCTCTTCGCAAAATGAGCGCGCGATTTTGTTCATACTAATTTAAAGTTGAACAGTTTTTTGAATATTTAGTACAGAAAAGTGCGCTTTTTGCGAAGAGCACACAAATTAAAACAATCATAATTAATTATTATTCAATGATATTGATCAATAGCAATAGATTTGCTTCACTGGGCGTCACATGTACAAATTATGTTCTATCAACCCTTACCCATGTGACATGCAATAAATAATTTGAATTTGCTGGTTCTTATACATATTTCATCTTTTATGTTACAGCAAGAGGCAGTAAGAAATTCTCTAAAAGCGCCCACAACAGATGTCCTGAACCCTTTCAAAGTGCCAGCTAGGCCGATGTTCTCCTCTCGAAAGCCTAACAAAGCGGCCAGCAAGCCTAAAGCCAAGCCAGTGAAGTCTGCCCTGATACCATTGGGCGATCTGCCGCCAGAATTACTCGAGGATATGAAGTACAAACCGCCTAAGAGATTCCAGCCGAGCAACGCGTCGTGGATTACTAAGAGACTGTACAAGTTTTTGGAGAGCAAATTGGAATCCAAGTAAGCATCATTTAGTTGACACTTGCAAAAAAAACCGAGAAATTATTTGAAAATTCGTAACAGTTTTATGTTCAGTTTTTTTAACATTTACATTCCGCATTTTGACTTCTTATGCTCTATTTTCGGACAATCATTTTGATTCAAGCCCACAAAGCTCAAATCACATGAAATAGTAAGGCTGAGTTGCACGACCTAACTTTGACCGTAACTTTAACGATAACCGGTGTTTTTTGTATATAGTTTGACAGATATTTGACATTCGACAAAGTTAAAATAAGATGGTGCAACCCAGCCTTAATTTTTTTTAAAGTAACGTTATGCACTTTGACTTCTTATGCAGGCGTAAAATGCTCTATTTTCAGACAATCATGTTGATTCAACCCCAGAAAGGGTGCTCAACTCACATGAAAATGTGGCATTTTTGTCATAACTATGACAAAAATGCCGTATGATGCTACTGGCGAATCACAGAAGCATACTTACTTAGTCAGAGCTAATGCGAGTTCTCCTGACAAGATGGCGCACAGTAGTTTGATTTTAAAAAAAGGTGGACATACGATCGAAAGTCATAATTTCACCGAAACAAAAATTGTTTTGGATAGCATTTTGAATGCTGATCAACATTTGTCATTATGCATTTTTCGATAAAACGAGCCTTTCATGCTTAAAAAAAATATGACAAGAAAATTTGTATGGAGAAAAATCTTTTTTATTTTTTTTCTGGCTACTGTTGCAAACTGTAGCGGTCAAACCTTATGTAGTCGTAAGTACCTATGGTGCCTAACATTACTACATAAATACTTTTTGCGGGCACGCGCGGCGAAGCGAGTAATGGACATGCAAAATTTTAAATATTTTTATTTATTCATTATTGATTTTAATGCACTTAAAGTAATTATTAATAGATAAACATACTTAGTCTAACTTACTACAGCCCCCTATTACCTCATTTCACGCTAAAACCTTTCAAACTAGAACCTAAGTTTGTAGGTACTAGGTAGTCTAAGTTGTTTTTATTGTCATTATAATATTCACTACTGGTCTACTGGTTATCGTGTAAGATAGATTAGGTAGATATCAACCCTTTACCTAGGTATATACCTACTTCTTGGCACTTATAATACCGACATACATGATTAAAAAAAGTCTTCAAGCAAGAACCCTTGACTTCAATGGTTATGAAAGATTTTTTAACTTTCTAGAGTAGTCCTGAATAGATCCTTAAATCATTTTGACTGTCATAATCGATTACAGTAGGTAGTGGGTTCAGTAAGGGTTTCAACCCATATAGTAAACAATACATTTTTATGGCTCTCCATTCAGTTAGTCAAATAATTCCATCATAAATGGAAATATCCGTAACCCTCTTCTACACATTATTCATCATCCATCATCATTTCAACCATAGAACGTCCACTGCTGAACATAGGCCTCCCCCAATGATTTCCACAATGGCCGCTTGGTGGTGCCCTGCATCCAGCGCCTTCCTGCTACCTTTATGAGGTCGTCGGTCCACCTTGTGGGTGGACGTCCTACGCTGCGCTTTCCGGTACGTGGCCTCCACTCCAGAACCTTGCTGCCCCATCGGCCATTAGTTCTGCGTACTATGTGCCCTGCCCATTGTCACTTTAGCTTGCTAATCCGTTGGGCTATGTCAACGACTTTGGTTCGTTTACGGATCTCCTCCTCATTTCTGATTCGATCTTGTAAAGAAACACCGAGCATAGCCCTCTCCATAGCACGTTGTGCAATTTTGAGCTTATTTATAAGGCCTATATTGAGAGGCCACGTTTCCGAGCCGTATTGCCACACATTATTGCAGATCCATTATGTACACCTCTACCTATAGTTTTATATGCCAGCTAACGTACACAAAAACTGCTGATACATGGTGCAGATAATGTGATAACATTTTGGTGTACTGCAAACCTGCCTATTGGATTCTTTCGGAAAAAGTAAGTATGTGAGTGACTTTGATTATTTTGAACACTCTGATCAAGATAAGTGAATAGGCTAAAATATCTTTTTTTGATTGTTTTTCGAACGAAGATAATAATTGAAGACATGAATGGAAGAAGGTGATAAATGTCGGATTTCAGATTTTTCTCAGTTCGATGATTGGGTAAAGGTATGCTTTATGCTTTATGTTTGAGGCTACTTATAAAGGTGTTATGTACGTTATCTTTTAAGACGAAGGGAAAGAAACTTACACCTCTTTAAAGGAGCAAAAAAAAAAGAATATTTTTGCGAAAGTATAAGACTATTCAACAGAAGAACTGGAAATTACAGTTCTATCAAAATTGAAACTATCCCGCTACCTACTGTAATCGATTATGACAGTCAAAATGATTTAAGGATCTATTCAGGACTACTCTAGAAAGTTAAAAAATCTTTCATAACCATTGAAGTCAAGGGTTCTTGCTTGAAGACTTTTTTTAATCATGTATGTCGGTATTATAAGTGCCAAGAAGTAGGTATATACCTAGGTAAAGGGTTGACATCTACCTAATCTAATAAATCGATAACCAGTAGACCAGTAGTGAATATTATAATGACAATAAAAACAACTTAGACTACCTAGTACCTACAAACTTAGGTTCTAGTTTGAAAGGTTTTAGCGTGAAATGAGGTAATAGGGGGCTGTAATAAGTTAGACTAAGTATATTTATCTATTAATAATTACTTTAAGGGCATTAAAATCAATAATGAATAAATAAAAATATTTAAATTTTTGCATGTCCATTACTCGCTTCGCCGCGCGTGCCCGCAAAAAGCATTTATGTAGTAATGTTAGGCACCATAGGTACTTACGACTACATAAGGTTTGACCGCTACAGTTTGCAACAGTAGCCAGAAAAAAAATAAAAAAGATTTTTCTCCATACAAATTTTCTTGACATATTTTTTTTAAGCATGAAAGGCTCGTTTTATCGAAAAATGCATAATGACAAATGTTGATCAGCATTCAAAATGCTGTCCAAAACAATTTTTGTTTCGGTGAAATTATGACTTTCGATCGTATGTCCACCTATTTTTAAAATCAAACTACTGTGTGGCGCCACTGTCTTAGCCACTTCAAAGTTATAGCCTGACCAGGAACATAAAAACCCTGGCATAGAGGCGCGTCAATTGCATTTGATAGTGCAACACTGAGTACAGTCGTACCTGTGTTAAATTAATAGGCTAACTTTATGTATCAGGATTCAGGATTACGGGCTAATTTGAAATTTTCATAAATTAACGAAAAAATATTATTATTATAGGTAACCTGGTTTAAATAAATTAAAGGAAACCATCAATAGAGTTAGTGTAGGATTTATTAAATTATTCATCAATAATCAAATTCAGAACTTGAATATTCAACTGCAATGTCTGCTCATGAACGCTTCAAACTCGGTACTTCTTTCCCAATTCCATAAAATTCAACACTAAGAAAGTGACAAAAAACTTTAAAATAGGTAGTTGAAACAAACCACAGCTAATTTTCATAGTGTACTGTACTATACGATAAACATGTCAGTCACTTTGACAACCTTTGTCGAAAACATTATTCAATGAAAATATTGTCCGAACCCTTAGTATTTCTCTTCGACAGATACTTTAACACCATTGTGAACCACTTTTCTTTCAAGACTATAAAAATATTTTAGCAATTTAATTCACAAAATCAATTGCGCACATTTAAAATAAAGCTTGTTTATACTTTGACAGCAATAGACTGACATGCAAGGTGACATGTCAATGAAGTTTTCAGTTACTGTTGCCATTAAAAGAAATTAGTACCATTAGTTTTCCGCAACATGGCGAGGGTTTTTATGTTCCTGGTCAAGCTATACCTACCTTACATGCCAATAACACGAAATACCGATCGCAAATGAGCGGGGAGCCTATTGACACAGTGGCCTTTGTTATATTGTTTATATTTGTGCTTACTGTATTAAATTCTATTTCTTTCTTTCTTCTTTCAAATATAGCCCTTATTACTTCCCAGATACGACTACAAAGCCCGCGTGCGCGCCGAGAAGCTAGTGCAGACCATATACCACTTCGCCAAGGACCTACGGCGCGTGCCCGTTGCGCCGGCGCCGGCGGTTGACGCGCTGAAACTAGAAATGGCGCGGTTGGGTGTGGTCACCACGCACTTCGACTTCTACCAGTTTTTCCACGAGTATATGCCGAGGGAGGTGCGGATCAAGGTATGTAACAATAAGGAGTCCTAGGCCTGTTTTCACCATCAAGCCCTAATTTATAAGTGACCCCTATGTAAACAAAATTCCTGTTAATTGTTACCATACCCCACTTAAAAATTAGGGATTGATGGTGAAAACGGGCACTAGACACTTAACATCAGGTGCGATTGTGGTCAAATAACTGTCTTGTTATGCATTAAAAAAAAGTATTCATTATCTTTTTTTCTATAATAAAAGAAAGTCGTGTTAGTTACACCACTTATAACTCAAGAACGGCTGAACCGATTTAGCTGTAAATTGTCAGGGAGGTAGTTTAGAGCCAGGAGAAGGACATAGGATACTTTTTATCCCGTTCGAAATAAAAAAAGTCTGCTTATTTATTGCCGTTAAGGCGGAACAAAGTTCGCCGGGTCAGCTAGTTATGTATAAAGCCTGGTCCGTGAGCATGTAGAATTTTGTCCAATGACCCCAAGCTACCCATCCTTATCGCTCGCGCGTAATTATGTTGCTGTCGCGCTCGCACACTCACTGCGGGCGCCCGTCTCACAGTCGCGGATAGGTAGCTTGGGGTCATTGGACAAAATTCTACGTGCTCACGGACCAGGCTTTAGATCGTTTCATCCACGAAGACGCGGCCCACCAATTTTTAGTCGAGGGAAGTACGGGGTGGGGAGTTTGATCCGATCAATCCGTGCGTCATTATTGTAGTGTGCGTGTGCACACATGGATAATTTAGCGTGTACCGATAACACTCCGGAAGAATGGTGGGGCGCGTCTACGTGGATGAAACGATCTATACCACCTACCGATGTATCCCTGCCTCCTGTTTTTACAAATAAATGGTTTGATAATGGTTAAATGGTCGATAAGGGCCTCCGCTGCGTGGAACAGACAGTTTTGTTTGATGATAAACCGCTAAATAACAAGCCTTTAACTTCAGCTATCTTATAATACCCAGTACCTACAGTGAAATAACGTTTCAAACTCAATAATCCAATTTCTAACATACTTGTGGATGGATTGTTTCAGGTGGTGCCAGATATAGTGAACAAAATAAGTGTGCCGCGACATGGAGTGTTCTCAGACATCATAAGAGGAAACACGGTCCAGGGATAGAACTACCTCCGATATTTAATTTAAGTGTGATATTATGAGTTTACGATTCATTAATGAAATTATGTTTTACGAGATTACATTTTTGTTTCATTTATTACGATATTCATTTAAAAATATAGTCTTGACTAAAAAATATACAAACATGCTGTACATGTGGACCACGTAGTTCCAGCTTCACAGAAAGAACTGGCTGTGGCTCACTGTACAAAATAGAATTGCAAAATTAAAACAATTTTTCCGGGGTCTAGGAATTGTTTATTTTGAAAATAGGATACAAATGTAAACCTATATTACAATGGAGCACCATACACAAAAATTATATTGCAATCATATTAGGTACATTATAGTTACAAAACCGTGTGTCAACTAAATACCAAAAATACATTTCATATCACTTACATGGCTTACTCTATTATGTATAGAAGGGTCAAAGGCAAAGCTTAGTCTTACTTTATTCTAAAGGGCTCTCGTTTCTCTCGTTTGATATAAAAAATTTAAAAATTGTAAGAAATTTGAGTTTTATTATTTTACAAAAAGTATTAAGAGATTAGTAAAGGAGCATAGTAGGATTGGTACTATCTCAATCGTACCTTCTTCTTACTACATATTATTATACTATCAGTGTTAATTTTAAGACGGAAAATCATATAGAACAAAAGTATATGTTTATGCAGCGAGAGCCCTTAAATTGGGGCACAAGTTACAAGGATATATTGAACTATTGTTACATAATAAATTACAATGTGCCTTGTAGAATAATATTTGCTAAAAAGAATGTAAAGATAATGTGCTCGTCTTATAAATATAAATTAAACGTTAAAATAAAGTGTCTTTCATATGATAAAACTTCAACTGTTAATATTTAATTGGATATACATCTCGGTTAATAATAGTATACGGGAATACAAAGTATGAACTCTATATATTACAATAATATAGGGTAGTAAAATATTGTCAGAAGTATACAGGCAGAATTTTCAAGTGTTGCGAAGAGCAAAAATCGTATGAAGCTGTAGATTTTATCAAAATAAACTGTCCTACAAGTATTTTTTGCTATTAATTATAGTTTCGCATACACTTGAAAAAGCTCACCTGTATACATAAGTTTATATTGGTTAGTATACAAATTCTAGATAATTTTGTGACCATGATACTAATAGTACAAGTTTTACAAAACAATAAAACTTGTATTATTGAGCAGAGACGATGCACAGCATCTGGTGAGAGATGCGTCTACTTCCGGTGTAGTTTTTTAGCATTTTATACCTTAAACGACGTCATTTCCGCAATTATTTAATAGGAATTGATTTGACTTACTTCCGTTTGCCGCCATTTTAGTCACCTGGGGGCGAGCTTGCTCGGAGTTCTTCATAGAGAGCTCACCAGGAGGCCTTCTTGGGATGCTGTGCATTGTCTCTGCTCAATAATACAAGTTTTATTGTTTTGTAAAACTTGTACTATTATTCGGCATGTGACGATGCACAGCATCTGGTGAGAGACTTGTTTATTAGCTCCTGGTGACTACTTACCAATGGCGCTATGTGATGAAAGTTTTCGAGTTTCTGTAACAGAACTAGATTAGAACATGATTAATTTCAGGGTATTAACATGTTTAATCTATTTATACAATATAGAGATTCGCGAGAATGCTCATTTGATCGAAAAGAGTGTTAAAGCTATCAGAATCCCACGTACCTCGTTTCATCCGTTTTGAATCTCGCCGGGGTCCGAGTTTCTCCGGTATCCGACGCTCTGGGTCCACCTGCTCGTCGTCCGGAAGACACTCGTCCCCTTTGGCGCCAACCACCATCACGTACATGTCGTTCGCGGTCACACACGCGCGGTCAATTGCACTTTTTAATTTTAAACTTAGTATTAGAACGTTGAGAAATAAATTATTTCAGTAAAAATCTGAGCAGAGTTTCTGCTTACGATGTTGCTAGTTTGGAAGTTAAAGACGCTATGAAGAACTCCGAGCAAGCTCGCCCCCAGGTGACTAAAATGGCGGCAAACGGAAGTAAGTCAAATCAATTCCTATTAAATAATTGCGGAAATGACGTCGTTTAAGGTATAAAATGCTAAAAAACTACACCGGAAGTAGACGCATCTCTCACCAGATGCTGTGCATCGTCACATGCCGAATAATACTGAATATTCTAAACAAGCAATTTAATAAATAATGAATTCAAGACTAGTTTAGAAGTACATAAAAATGCATTACAATTTGAGAATCAAAATATTTTGTTGTGCTCTTATATGGAAATTAAGGATTAGCTTAAATGTATGTCAGTACATCATTTTGTCTTTATTATAATCTAGGATTAAGGCCTATTCAGACCTAAGCGGTATTCGCTACCGTCTGCGGCAGAGAAAACCCAGTGGGTATGCGGTAATAATACTGTTCAGACCTAAGCGGTATTCGCTACCGTCTGCAGCAGAGAAAACCCAGCTCAGGTCGCTCTAGCCGCGATACTTGATACTAAATACCTGAGCGAAACCCGCGCGGTATGTAACTCTACCCACAGCGGCAGCGAATATCGCTCAGGTTTGAATAGGCCTTTAGGCCTACCCTAGAGCAAGTGATCTTTATATTTCTTTGAAATTGAATCTCCATGGTAAACACTTGTTCAACATCTTTTCATTTCAAGAGGACTTGTATAAATAAATCGAAGTCTATTTTCTACTAAAAGCAAAGGCAGTACAAGTCTAAAATTAAAGCAGTCTGGAGGAAATTAACCCTAAAGCCCTACATAGGAGAATTTAAATTACCACTGTCTCACTCACGCGCGCACGGGTGACAGTATGAGTGACAGAGACGGAAGTCAATATTACAAACAATAGACCTCTCAAGATAAACAAGTGAGCAAACGCTCGGTACACTCCACTCTCTTCAAAATGTCTTTTTAAAGCATTAGAATTCAAATTGGCATACGAATTTTGTCAAAATTATACAGGAATTCGTATACGATGAGCACAGCTTGTGTATGCGAATAAGAATTATAATGATTTATAAGTTAGTACAGGTACAGGTTACCAGGTACCAGTACAGGTTCTTCTTTGTCTATTTTTTTTTTCGTCGCGAAAACTTGCAACATACAGCTTGAAAGTAATAGACAGTTTGACACCATACCAGGCCTGTTCATCTCCGCGAGTTTGCATCGAAAACAAAACACGCGCGACTACCCCTCCTGAGATACCAAATCGACAGGACAATCACGAGCGAGTATTGACGCACGCACGTATTCTTCACCCATTTGCATTGTAAAGACAATAAACCATATGTAAAAACGGTGGTGCAATTAATACTCTACAGTATTTTTTAACTGCCTGAATAATATTAGAAACACAAAATATAATTCATTCTTATTCATGTATTTCCTCCGCCATTTTTCGCAGTTTGGCACCTCACGTCACACATCATTTTCCCGAAGTCAGCCCTATGTCTTCGGCGCAGTACCGATCACTGACGTTTGTCAACAAAATGGTGCTCGACTCTTGAGACAAGCTAAATTACACCATATTGTTAACGACATTGAGCATACATTTTTTTAAATACCTTCGCGAAGAAAATCTTCTGTACGAAGTACTTATTATTATTCTGTGACCATACCTAGATAATTTGAAACCACAACTTTTTTAAATAGACCCTTCATTCTGGTCTTAAAAACTTAATTAATTTTAAATTACCTGTAAATTACGATTTTTGTTCGCATTGTAATTGAAAAAAGTAGTTATATTGGGTTGATAAAATAGTGACGTCACTTGCTTGTAGTGCCATACAAAATCTATGGGAGTTTCGTTTTGACAGTTTTAAAAAGTACGTCAATTGATTGGTGATGTCAACATGTCTATTGTTATTCTTGAATTACTGTAGTAATTAGCAGTTAATAGTTGTACAAATTGACTAAAAATGTGGAGCGTACCGCGAACGTAAATTATCTAAAATCAAATATAATTTAAAATTAACGATATGCATCGCATAGTTAATGATTAATTAATTTTAATCTCTCAAATTTCATAATTCACAACACTGAAATTAAATATAAATTACAAAACATTAGGTACTTAATAAATAAAATTATAATAAAAGAAAGTACACATCATTAACATACCTTAAAATTAATATGTCACTGTCGAGCAGTATAAAACATAATAATACAACGTGCAATTGAGTCAACGCAAAACCTAAATCAGTATAATAATCAGTTATTAAATTTTTAAAATACTTTGTTAATTATTAACAAAAGAAAAATATTTCATGATACAATGGTATCATGTCAAGTTTAAAAGTGAAATTGTGCATGTATTTCATGAAACAATGGTATCATGTCAAGTTTAAAAGTGAATTAGTGCATGCAGTGCTCATTAATCATTTATTTTGTGAAAATAAATTATGAAACTTGCACCCATTTATTATAATTCAGTTGGCATTGACATACGTAGCTATTGCGTTACTTCAATTACACGTCACATAACCAAAGGATAATTTACACATATTAACTTGTTAGTAGGTAACTAAAATTTTACTTAATTTTCAGTGATTTATAGTAAAAAGAATTTAGTATATGTTTACATGCAATTTAATAATTTAAAATTAAGTTACAATTTAGTTACTTAATACGTGTAAATTGAGCCTTAACTCCCCTTGACTAAAAACCAACTGTCCACAACACTAATTTCTTATCACACTCATCAAACATAACATAAAAAGCTAAATGTTATGTTACATGTAATAGTATATATTTATAACAGCATAGTGAGTTAAAGAAATGCATTTTATAAGTCACAAAACTTCAATAACTTTGGAAGATATTTATGAGTGTTGTGCGCCTTCAGAAAATATTAATTTATAGTTTTGGCACGGTATTATTTAAATTCATCATGGATTTTTACACCAAATGGTTTTGTTTAGGCCTCGACTTAGCCTTCGTCAAACCTACATTCCTATAACCAAAATGCTAATAGAATTGACATTAAATAATTATACTAGCAAACAATAACGTTATTGTTTTCGCCCAAACTCATTTCATCATAGCAATTGAGTCTATTATTATGACTTTCATTTGAATAAAGCTTGAGTATATCGCGTAAAATATTCCATTACTTGTCAGTTTATAAATACATCGATTATATTGTATACCAAGATTTTAAGAGCCATAGTATACTTCTTTTCGTAGCGACTAGCTTCAACTGTTTTGATAATTTCGTATTATTAGAACGAGTCTCACAGGCAAAACAAAGACAACTCGCGATTTCATACGTTCAGTGGTTACAATTTTATCGTAATGTTTAAATACCAATAATTCGATTATATTGGCTAAAATCTAATTTAGCCTGGATCCAAAGGCTTTCAAAAGTTTCCAAATTAGTACGAATTAGACCAAAATCACGTTGGGTCTGATCGACTACTAAAAGTTTAACTTACACATTATTCTTTCGCTATTTCGTATATTATATGGTGTTTCCCAATGTCACAATCACAACATTGATACAGAAAATTATCTAGATGGTGATTATTTAGTGTGACAATTTTTTTTGTGACAACAAAAAAGTAAAAATATTGTTGATAATAACAGTGTAACACGAAAATTAAAGCGTATCGATGCGAGACTGTAACATTCACTGATGTGACATTGGAAAACAATCGCACTACTTAATACACTATCGCAGTCGATCGTTAGGCTCAAGTTACATTGGCAATAGCCCGCTTGGAATGTTGCCTATTGTGTACGTAGACAATACGCGTGTAGTACCGCCTTATTTGTACCAAACTGGCGCAAAAAAAATTTTAAAAATTAAAGAAAAAGAGTTCTAAGAGACAGTTTCATGTTTTTAGAGTTTGGTTCAAAGTGCGCCAGTTTGCTTGAGCCGAACTACATCTACAATCACTTAACAACCAACATTGCACGAAAATAATTGTCAAAATTGCCATAATTATTTACCAAACCTTACCGGGTACACAGCCAGCTATAATCGCCATGCATTTACGGGTACAATTACCGACTATTGTCGGTTGAAATGTCAGACATTGTCGTATATATTGTAAGTACCGTATCGGCTATGGTTGCCGACTATTGCTGTGCATTGCCGCGGAAATCGGCTAGCGGGGGTGAGGTAGTAACTCGACGTAGTTGGCTGGAAAGAGCCCGAATAGGCCTTGGGGGCCGAGGCCTTGCCACCAGCCTGCGTCGATTTGCTCAATGTGCGTGATTATGTCACCAGGATCGAAGGTAATCTCGGACTCGTCGGCTGTTGAAGAAGTTAATTATTTTTAATACATATTCATTGAGTTGTTGATAGTAAGATTATAGATGACCCACGCTGAACTGTCCCACCAAACTCAATGACAGGGGGGCGCTACCATCGTTCAACTATATGGTTTCCAACATGGCAAAAATCGGAACCAGCGATCCGGTATTGACGGTGGCGCCCCACTGTCAATGTCATGGACAGGACAGTTCAGTATTTTGGAACTATACCAGTGGAAAATTACATATCTATCAATATGATCAAAAAATCTATTATCCCTGTATTAGGGATAAGGGGGTGGGATTGCTACCTCGCAAAAGTGGCATCATCATAAAAGTAATAACGTCGTTCAAGAACATCTCACTCGAAATAAGTGAAAATTAAGAATTAAGATATCTACAATTAAAAAAATATACGTTAAATCCAACTGTACAGTCGTGAAAATATAACAGACAGATACAGTTCGCATGAAATGTCCTTTTACCCTATTACGGCAAAATCAAAAGGAAGGGTTATAAATTCATGACTCAGTTCAAGGAATTATCTGTAAAAAAACTTACCAGCTTGATAGTCATACAGCGCCCTCGCCGTCAGACCAGGGTCATCGTCCAAGTCCTCATATATCGTGCCCTCCTCCTCCAAACCCTCAGGCGACACGTCATCAAGCGTCGTCGTTCCATTCTCTTTCTTATAATTCACATTCTCTATAACCGTATTCTGCCTACTCAATTCTCTCTCATTCTCCCCAGCGATATTATTCTTACTGTACGGCGACCGCTTAATCGTACTGAACTTATTGTCGCTATCATCGTCATCGTTCTCGTTTGAACTGGAATACGACGCGTCGAACATGTCATTCTCGAGAATATTCTGCTTGATCATCGGCTCGCTTTGCTTCAAATCCGGCTCGATGTCTCTGTACGAGTTGTCTTTACACTCCGCGTAGTTGATGGCACTGAACGAACTCGGTTCGGTCTCGGTACTCGGACTTAAGTCCACTGAAGGGTCTATTATAGGCTCGTATTGTATCTGAGAAGGGCTTTCAAGGCTCAGCTTGATTTTGTCTATGTTCTTCATGGGGCTTGTCTTTGGTTGTTCTTGAGGTTCTTCTTGGGGGGGTTTCGGTTCGAGTTTGAGGGGGGGTTTGGCGGGTGAAGGGGGTTGGGGGGAGGGGTTGTGTTGTTGGGAGAACGTGTTGATGCGTTGCGCGATCACTGAACTTCGGATTGGTTTCTCGGGGACGCTCGATGGGGATCTGTGGATGAAGCAATATGACAATTAGAAAAAAGTTTAAAGTAATTATAGTCTGGTCTCTACGAGCTACGGCCGTTGGGGCAGGAAAGTTCTCGAGTGGCGACCACGGGCTGGAAAACGTAGCGTGGGCAGGCCTCCTACTAGGTGGACCGACGATCTGGTAAAGGTCGCGGGAAGAGCCTGGATGCGGGCAGCGCAGGACCGTTCATTGTGGAAAACCTTGGGGGAGGCCTTTGTCCAGCAGTGGACGTCATTTGGCTGAAACGAACGAACGAACGATAGTCTGGTCCGGGAGCACGTAGAATTTTGTCCAATGACCCCAAGTTACCCATCCTTATCACTCGCGCGTAATTATATTGCTGTCGCGACTGTGCGACGCGCGCCCGCAGTGAGTGTGCGAGCGATAATGATGGGTAGCTTGGGGTCATTGGACAAAATTCTACGTGCTCCCGGACCAGACTATAGTTATTTCGACCTTTGATTATGTTCGAAGAGTTCCTTCTGCTCAATTTTTCCTATTGATTCAATTTGATCTCACGATTTATGTATCTGTAAATACAGACAGAATACGTTGCACTGATTAACTCATGGCACAAGTTGAAGTGAATATAAATGATTCATTATTGTCGTTATCGTTTCAAACAAGTCCACTGCTGGACAGAGGCCTTCCTCGGAGCTTTCTATAACGACTGGCCATGGCTGCCTGTATCCAGGTGCTTTTCGCGACCTCCACCAGACGGGACTAAGAAGATGCGCGGCACGATAAGTTGTTATCGATGATTTTGGTTGACAAATGTATGGGCTTATCTAAAATCGATAAGATTATATCGTATACTAGCGGCCGCCCGCGATTTCGTACGCGTGGATCCCATTTTACCCCCTTCATCTATCTTACGCGGTTTAGATTTTTTTTATACAAATGTTTTTTCCCGATAACTCCCGTTCCCGTAGGAATTTTGCAATATCCTGTTGAAACTAAGCTTTAAGTTTACCTACTAAGGTACCTGCATGCCAAATTTCAAGCGTCTAACTTAAGCGGTTTAAATTTTTCATACAAAAGGATTTTCCCGCAATTCAATTTCGGGAATTCCTTTCTTAGTGCACCTCTACGGTACCTAAGCTACGTCCCTCAGTTTCAAGTGCCTACGTTTAGCCGTTTAGGCTGTGCGTTGATATGTCAGTCAGTTGCTCCTTTTATATGTATTTTAGACTAGCTGACCCGGCGAACTTCGTACCGCCTTAGCGTAGAGATTTTCTTTATATATTTTTCCGTAAAAACCTTGTACAGAGTATTAGAAAACTACAAAAAAAAATCAGCCAAATCGGTCAAGCCGTTTTCATGTTATGTCGTGACAACAGAAAACGGGTTTCATTTTTATATATATAGATGACAGGCGCCACAGACCTACAAATCGTCAAAATAAATGATTAATGAGTAAAACCTAAAACATACTTGGGCGTAGATCGCTGTCCTTGCGCCAAGTTCTGCGTAAAGTGCGCGCGCGCGGCGGCCGTGGCGGCGCACAACTGACGCGCTTCGGACGCGCGCGCGCGACGTAATGCCTCTGCGTCTGCGCCTGCTTGTCCTGACTCCGCCCGGGATAGTCTGGAAAACGAAATTAAGGGATTACTAATGTTTGGCCAAAAAACGTTTCCCAAATTATCACATCGCAAACGTTTCGCAAATTTTCATTTGGCAAATTCTCATTTGGCAAAATCACTTATTGCAAACTTTTAATTCGCAAATGTCGTTTTTGGCATACTATTGTTTAGCAAATTATTGTTTGGCAAAGTATGTTTTGCCAAATGTTTCATTTGGCAAAAATATTTCACGATATACTATTTAACCTTTAACTATGGACGTCGGGTCTCAGAGGCCCACCCCCCTTTCCGATTTCTCGGTTTAAACACCTTCCCGCCACGGGTTGCTCTCGACCATCTCAGTAGCTTCAGTTTTAACTGTGTTTGGACCGAGGAGGCATAAAATCGCATCTTCCGGCACTTATTACGTGAGTAATAACCATTCAAAATTTTGTCCGGGTCTGGGAGACCCGATGACTATAATTTCCATACAAACATACTTGTATGGATGTGACTTGTCAACTATAATTTTTTTATATTATATTATTATAATCTTAAGTAAATTGTTCTAGTTTAAGAATACATAATGGCAGAAAGTATCTGAGTACATCAGCTATATTATTAGCCCAACTATCTAAAGAACATTTCAGGAGTAAGGTACTTGTAGACGATTCTGCTTTTGAGTTTAGATGTCTTAGAATTCACTATTGCTGCAGATTCCGATTCTGAATGGTGTACATTTTGCCTACTAAAGCTCTCAAAGAAAGAAAACATATGCCTGTAGAAATAATTTGTCTTTAGTGTTCTAGGCCACTGTGTTTAATTTAAGTAACTTTAACCCTTGTCAAAATTTTTATTTTATGTCCTTCAGAAATTCTGTTCATGTTTTTATGTTACATGGTTATTAATTAGCAAAGAAAAAATATTACTTTCATTTATTAATGATCGACTGTAATCAAGGAGCCTATATGTGGTGGCAAGTCAATTTACACTGAAAAATGTCTAAGTTTTTTAAATTTACGAAAAAATAATTAAATTATGGTTAAAATTTGATTACATTTACTACTAAATCCTTTATTAATAGTTATTAGATATATATCAACTCTTTAATAAATTCAAATTGATTCAGATATGAAAATAAGAAGAATGTTAGATAGGGGTCTGTGAGACCCGACGTCCATGGGTGTGTGATTTTTTTTCACGTCCATAGTTAAAGGTTAAAAAATAATTTGATTGGTGCATAGCATGGAATTATTTTTTAGTGTGTAGTTAATATAAAATTTGTTCAAATTATTTTTCATATTTCATTCTTTTTGTCGAAATTTCCAAACGATTCATTAACAATAGAGGTGATTCTAGCGCTCGGCGGCCGCTGCCGCGGCACGCTCACTTCGCTCGCTCCGTTCGCTCGCGTTAAGGGTCACTGTTCTAACCTAACCTAACCTACTATTATCTGCAATACCTAATTTCTGCAACCATACTATTTTCTGCAATCTCTTTATTTTACATAAAATTCTTGTGAAAACCACGATTGTGGCTTATGCTTTGATTTGTGGGTAACGGTGGTAAGTATGTGAAGTGTCAATTTGACCAACCAAATTATTTGGGATATAATATTTGGCAAAATAAAACATTTGCTATATAAACATTTGCCAAGTAAAATTTGGCCAAATGATAATTTGACCAAATGAATTGGTTGCGAAAAGTACAGTTGCTAAAAGTTTATTTGGGAAATGAGACTTTGGCGATAAGTTGTTTGCGAAGTCAAATTTGGCGAAAAGTAATTTGGCCAAACGGAAGGATACCGAAATTAAGATATAGGCGGTTATCACACTGCGCCGCGCTCCTCCAGATTTAATCATTGTATGCAAGTACCTCAGTTTGTATAGAAAACACGCGCGGCACTTCACACTGACAACGCGTCCGCGCGCGTGATTTTTTATATGAAAATCACGCGCTCCGCGGCAGAGCGCGGCGCAGTGTGATAACCGCCTAAAACTTTAACTAGACGACGAGAGACAAAAAGTCGTCTACCCCCGCGGACCCTGAGTCCGTCCGAAATAACTAGGGAGACTAGATTGCAATCAAATTGGCACAAGCCACGATAGAAAAAGCAGAGGTGGAATTGTGTAAAGTAATCGTTAACATTTGACAGTTCATAACGATTATTCTGTCAAACGCTTTGTTTGACTGACTTTATCGTACGTTATGAACTGTCAAATGATTGCTTTACACAATTCCACCTCAGTTTCCGAAATTTTAGCGAGAGGTGCGACTAGTCCCGTTACCAAACTGTTGCATAATAAGGTGTATTAAAACACTACGTGAGTTATAACTTTATCATACGACTGTTATAACATCGAGTTATGTGCAGTTACATATACTACCTTAAGATTACCTACACTCATGCAAAACCTAGGCACATTAACACTTAAAACAGTTACCCTTGCATTAAAAATGGTCCAAAAAGCCATGAATCTGAAAATACTCACTTTTCTTGTTCTGCTTTAGCTCTCCTCGCGGCTTCCAGCTCATCTCGTCTTCTGACTTCCTCATCAGCTTTCCTCTTCTCCTAAAAAAGATAAAGAATATTGTGAGTGTACATTATTTTTAAAAATCCGCTTATACACACGACAAAAAAAACGTACACGATAAAACGGAACAGTAAAACGGAGACATGTGTGAACCGGCCGTTAATGTGTAAGTAACTTGGCTTTGAACAAAAGCTATTTAGAAAATGATTATCTCAACATAAAGCTGAGATAAATAATTAAATTACATAATGGAATTAAAAATACTCATAAATACCTCTTCTCTCCTTTTCCTTTCGGCTTCAACTCGTTTCTTTTCTTCCTGTTCTTCTTTCATCCAAAACTGGTCTCTTTCTTTGGAGTTTATTTCTTGAACTACAACAAAGAATACACAATTTACCATCAATCTTAAAATCCCATACCTACAGGCTTAACTTTAGGTCATCATCATCATTAATAAAAAACTATACACTAGGTTATTCGTTCATTTCTGCAGCCAAATGACGTCCACTGCTGGACAAAGGCCTCCCCTAATGAATTCCACAACGACCGGTCAGCGCTCCACGCATCCAGGCACTTCCCGCGACCTTTAATAGATTATCGGTCCACCTAATGGGAGGCCTGCCCACACTAGATAATTTATAGCAATTATAAAACTCCACTTTTTTCCCAATAGGCAATGACATTAACGCGCATAACTCAACAACGGCAACGCCTGTAGGCCTAAGATGCGCGCCGCGATAAGCGGTTATCACGCCATTTTATCGATTTTGCCCATACATTTTGTGACGTCGATAAAAGTTATCACGGCGCGCATCTTAGGCCTACTGGACCAATTTAACCAATTCTTTTTTTTTAACGTTCGTTCCAAGGGTGGCATTAAGGACAAGAAAAATTCGAATAATTTCCGGGAAAGGTCCGAACGAAGTCGCGGGCGGAAAGCTAGTAGGTATTTTGTAAAAATATGCACTCGCATGTTTCGTTACTTCAAATCGTCACAATCAAAGAAAAGAAGTCACAGACCTCTCCTCAAACTGTTTTTCCTCCTCTTAATTTCCTCAGCCACCTTCCTCGACACAATAACGTCGTACCTCAGTGACATGACATCACCAGGCATTGTTGTAAACTACTGGTGCCCACACCGCGCTCATTGCAATGGTTATCTCAAATAACTATATGTTTACAAACAAAACGAATTGGTAAAACATGATGATGTTATTGGCATTTATTGTTAATTGAGTTGTGTAAATATTTACTACTCACAATGAAGAATTTTCGGCTATCTTCCTATTTTGGGGGAATAAATTCATGTTCCTCATTTAGGAAAAAAATTACAGAAGGTTCAAAAAATCTTCAGTATTTTAATACACATTTATTTTATTTGTATAGAGAACAATAGTGTCTGGGCAAACCTCAAGAGGATTTTAAGACACTATTTAAATAAATAAATTTCTATAAATAAAAATTTGATATATTGTCTGTATGGAAAGACTGCTGCTGTAAAGTCGCAGCGACAGATGAGCAACATATTTGGCTAGTCTTTCTCAGTTATTCTCCATTATTGAATTAAATCAAAACATTTTTCTGCTCCACTCCGCCTTGGTGGCAGGCCTAACTTATCCGTTTACGTTACCTAAACAAGTTTGAACAACTGCGCTTTATTTAGATACGGGCTTAGATTACCTGGATTCACTTTCTGATACGCAGTCCCTACAGGACCACTAGGAGGCAGCTCTTCTGGTCTACTCGACTTGAAGTTAAAAGCCGACCCAGCTTTAGAGAGTTTGTCCAGGATAACCTTCTCGTCAAGGTCATCCTCTGTTCTCGCGTGCATCGTGAGGTGGAAGCCGGTGAAAAACTGAGCCACATGCTTGATGTGGTTAGCGCAGGTGCCTTTCCGGACTGTGGGGGCTCCTTCACCCTGAGAATAAAAAAACACCCAAATTTATCAATGCCACTCAACTTTTTAAGCCCGAGTTTCGTAAGATGTTTTTGAAATAATACACTATACTTGAAAGACAGAATGAAAACGTTAAACTATTTCCCAGCCAGGACTGTTTAAACTTTACAGATTCAGTTCAATGGAGGCCAAAATGTAGATCCTGACACCATCTCATTCTTATCTATATTTCCAGAAACCATACGGCGGCTTAAGAAGCGGCGGGATATCTTCGACAATTAGTCTGAAAATAAACCTGAGATTAAGAAAAATAAAGGCCTGTTTCCGCTGGGAGCAGTGCTCTAAATGACGAAAAGAATCCACCCCATCTGCTTATAGTTTTTGAGGACTGATCGCATGATAAAACCATAAAACAAAAAAAAATCTATATTTTAGTCTAAAAAATTCTGCTTTCTTACTTTCACATCTTTTTATGTAGAAAAAATAGGCAATTAAAGTACATAATATTATTGCATATTTATATTTTTGGCAAACAAACATTTTCCTGTATACATATCCAGTTTTCCCAAAAGATAAGCATATTATATTAGTAATATTTCCCTCTAAATATCAATTATTACAATATTATATTCATACGCATAATACAATGTACAAATACTATTATAACGAGCAAATTGTGGTTAATTACCTATAATACCTAGTGGTCTTGAAATAAAATATGAAACACAATACATACTTGCTTTATAATAAATATAAAGTATTACTTTATTTATTAAGCTCACTAACATTGAAAATTTGTGCATGTTGTATTGTTGTCTAATTAAATATCGTGACTTCGTGAATCAAGACTGTGTCTTATAATAATAAACAACTAATCAATTCTTTACATTTTCTATGTCATTAACTCAATTTGAAATGCTTCAAAAAGTATGATTGAGTATGTTTCATTCAGTAATGCTTTTCCAGTATATTGGAATAAAAGAATATAATGAAAATATTTACGTACAAAAACCTAGCAGGTGTACACTAGTAAAATACCTTTGAAAATTAACATTATATGTAAAAATCATTTAATAACAGTAGGACTAATCTGAAATCCATACTATAAAATACTTGAAAAACTTAGTAGTTTGGTCGAGGGGTACCAAATTCATCAAAACAAAACATTTGTATTATAAATAAAGATATTATTATGGGCACAAAACTATTTATAAGCCTACAAAGATTATTCAACGTAACACAAGTCAGTTTTATCTTATCAACTTACCTGCCAGTTGATAAGCACATATTTCGATATGCTTCCGTTGGGCACGTCAACTTTGAGGAACGCATACTGTATCTTGCCGCTGTTAAAGTCATCTATCAGTTCAGTGAGACCTCCATCCCCTTTGCTCACGAATTTCAAGTCGTTTGACATCCCATCATAGCCGAAAAGAGCCCTGAAAGAAAAAACCTTGTTATAAAAAACGTAACATAAATTTAAATCGTGAAGCGTAAATCATCATCATCATCATCATCATTTCAGCCATAGGACGTCCACTGCTGAACATAGGCCTCCCCCAATGCTTTCCATGTTGATCGATTGGTAGCGGCCTGCGTCCAGCGCTTCCCTGCTACCTTTACGATGTCGTCGGTCCACCTAAAGCGTAAATATTGATGTTATTACTACACCCATTGAAACTTTGTGGGAAAACGCAATTTTCCTATGCATTAGGCATGTTTTTTGCTTTCTTGCATGATCTGACATGCATGATAGCATCAAGTTGCAATTTGATTCGGAAAAAACTTCAAAAAACTAGGTTTAATTGATTTCGACCAGATTTAGCGTAATTAAACCACTTTTTTAGGACCAATCCAAGTGGAAGGCATCCAATGACATTATACTCTGATTTTTAATTCGACGGAATTTTGACATTTCAGAAGTGTTGCCAACATTGAAACATTCCCATTATGAACGGAGAGCATTTTCACAAATTAAAAAATAACCCTTTCTTGAATTTAAGGTTTCACTTGAAAAACTAGGGCTTAAAAATGTACTGATCATTTCAAAATGGTTATTTGAATTTTTATTATCATATTTTTGAAGTTACAAAAAAAATTGGGAAATTATTTTTCTATTACTGGTCTCCCTGGTCAATAATCCATGGGTTACAAACCTTTTTTATGAAAATCCTTTTATTAATAAAATCTTAGCTTCATAAAATAACCAATTTAACAAGATGCCAATTTTATAATCCAAGTTGATTATGATGACGATAATGATGATTGATGATCAATACATATTTTCGTTTATGATAATATGTTGTTTTACTGTGTTAAAAACACGTTTTTTTCTATTTAATCTCTAAAATGTACATAATGATTAGTGAACATTGAATTCACAAAACAAACAATAGTTCATTCTTGTAAGTTGTACTTGATGAAATTTCATTTCATATTATTTATTAATAATTCAAAGCAAAAAAGGCTGATTACATCTGAATTGTCAAAAAATGACAGCTGTCAGAATTCCGTCGAATTAAAAATCGGACTTTAGCATGGTAACAAAGGGCAATAATATATTCATTGCAATTGTGAGCTGTGTATTGTCTCCTAAAGGACCAACACAAGCGCCTCGACAATGACTTTAGTTTATTATTATAATCAGGAGTGGCTGTTTAATTTCGCTAACAAGTAGGTCGTGCGACGAAAGCATACGTACCAATCCGTATCGGTTTTCTCATCTAATACGTCTTTCCACGCGGCGATCAACGCATCCCTGTGTTTATCTAAGTTTATGGCCATTTTACATTCTTTATTAACTGAATTTAGCAATAAAATAACGAAATAAATGAATAAATTTCAAAAAAATTCACCGATCGTCGACCGCTTGACTCACAACAAGTTTGCCACAGATAAAAAAACTGACTGACAGACGGCAAGCTGACTTGCCAAATGCCACTTTGACAATTTGGCCACAGAGTATAGAATATGGCCAAATAGTTTATGGCCAAGTTGGTTTAGGAAACTAACAAACAGTGCCCCGATTGCGATTTTTTCAACTACGCGACTAGGCGACGAACGAATAATCACAAATTCGCATCGCGGTGACGCTTTGACAGCTAGTTGAGCTAGTTCAAACGAAAACAAAACGCAACTGCATCTTTGTATAAAAGCTGAAAGAAAGCAACTTTATCTTAAACGCAAGTCAAACGCCTTCACGAACATTTGCTGTATTTTAGTGAAAAAATAAGGTTTTCGGACTTTTAATGGAAAATGATTAATCCGTTTTTTGTCTTTGTTTGTGTGTGAATTTGCACCTCAGCTGGAATAAAAGACGGAGCGCAACTGAAGAAGAAGCGCCAATGAATTGGAGACGTTAAAAATTAGCGCAATCGGGGCACAGGGCACTATTCATGATGGGTCAACAAGTTTTACTAATAAGACATTATAATAATGAACCAAGATAATATTGTAACTATTTACAATAATAATAAAAATATACGTATCGTAATGATAACGCCTACTCTTAGAGAATGGCAAATTCTCCGGCGCCTGTGGAATCCCAAACATGCTCATCAATTATTCATAGGCGCTTTACCTTGATTGGTTTGTTTGAGCTCAATATTTTTGCCCGGTCTGCCTCATTTTTTGCGCAAATTACTTCATTTATAAAATGAAGCTTTAGTCCCAGCCCTAATTTACCAAGTAAAATATTATTCATACCCACCAACTTAATAAATCATAGACGTTGAGAATAAAAGTTTTCGCAATAGTACAACATAAGCTGCGAGTAACAATAAGGAATATTCGGAAAATAATCCCTTATAGTCAACAAACTTCCAGCGTGGTCGCGAAGAATGCCAGCTATCCCCAAGAATATCTTGCGCGCGCACCAACTGAATGCTTTGCAAAGTACTTTCATCACCGCGCGCTAGTCACGACACCGCTCTCTCGGCGGACAACCGCGTATTACCATGTCTCGACTACAAACCCGATACTTTGTGAAAACTTAAAAACAATGTGGTTGGATGTTAGCGCGCGAGAAAAACACAGCTACATGACGCAAACCAACGGATCCTTCATACCAGGGTAAGTGAAGAATTTCCACCAATTTTCTTTCAGTTTTCTTTTCGCTTGTTTTCACCGGACCGCGCGACAGCGAAGACGCTCGAACATAAATAATACACGTTGTTATCTACTTATTGAAACCAATTACGTTCGAACATATTAACAAAACTAAAACAAATAGGTAAGTAGGCACCTACTTACTTGTGCCAATTAATTTTCAAAAGCGAAATAACTTAGTCATCTACCTACCATACGCTCTTGCTTGTGCATCCGTGAGGGCTCGCGTTCGATTCCCAGCTTCTTCTGACGAGCGAATTAAAGATATTAGGTAGGTAATTACATTGTACGAAAATATTACACACTATTTTATTTGTGACTTAAACATTAATTTTAGTTATAAAATCTTTAAGCTACTTACTTACTTAAATCAACTTCACAATGCTCCATTGAAGCTGGACACCTTAAGAGTACCTAAATTAATCAGGATTCCTACTCTTTAAAAAAAATCATTGACTTCATTCGATAGCACATCATAACTTTTTTGGCGCAAAAAAAAACAAAAGATGCACAGCTTGTTTTGCCGCCAGTGTTGCCAACTTAGTGGATTTTCCACTAAATCTGGTGGTTTTGACTTACCTACTAGCGGACAAATATGGGTTTTAGTGGCTAGTGGATTTATCTAGTGGAATTTAAGAATTAAGGCTTTTTTTTCTTAAACATTGGAACAACGATTATATGGTCCACTCGTATCGTTTTTGGAGTTTAATTTCATCGTGCAGGCAACACTGTTCGAGCTAGCGAGTAAAGAGACCTAAGAAAAATGACAATAAATTATTATCGGGGATTCCCTGAGTTCCCTTTCCTAAAGTCGCAATTTTCGTTCGCGCTCATTGTGTTGGTGGCTTAGATTAATAAAACGTTGGTGGTTTTGACGGTTTTGTTTCATGTTTCGTCATTGATAACTATGCCAAAACCACAGTATACGCAAAAGTTTCGGGATTCTTGGTAATAAATCTTAATAAATATATCTTAAAAATATTGTTTTCTTTCAAAATGACCACAAATCTGCCAGACAAAAAAATAGTGGAAAATTTAGCGATTTTTACGATGGTGCGATTTTTATTAGTGGATTTCTGGTGATTTTAGAGGTCAATTCTGGTGGGGAGCTTGATACTTCGTTGGCAACACTGTTTGCCGCGTCTCTATCACTCTCTACAATGCAAGCTTCGAATTTGTTTTAAATATATTATTTATTTATTTATAATGGCTCTTTTGATAATTAAATGAAGTGGCTAAATCGTAACTCTTCAAGATAAATTACTAGAATAGCGACAATTATTTTTATTATTATGTTCTAATTAAATTCTTAAAAAGTTGACATCAATTTAAAGCATTTTAATGCAGTTCTAATTAATTGTGAGACCTATAAATCTAGGAGACATAATAAGTAGCTAATAAGTTAGCAATTATGAGTAGGTAAGTAGATGCGTGAATATTTACTCAATTTTTCTTAAAAAATGAAATCATTTTATTTTTATCGGCTACTAGCTTTCCGCCCGCGGCTTCGCCCGCGTGGAATTTTGTCTGTCACAGAAAAACTTCATCGCGCGCGTCCCTGTTTCAAAAACCGGGATAAAAACTATCCTATGTCCTTTCCCGGGACTCAAACTATCTCTATGCCAAATTTCATCAAAATCGGTTCAGTGGTTTAGGCGTGAAAGAGAGACAGACAGACAGAGTTAGTTTCACATTTATAATATTAGTATAGATGTGTGTTTTAGTAATGACACTTATACATTAGGTAGGTATTATGATCTACCAAAACTATGTTGTTGGTAGGAATTTGGAAGTGAAAATTCCACTGGAATTATATTTGTATGGTTTAAATAGACGTCCTTGATCAAATATTTATTAAAATTCCAGAGCTTGAATGCCACAAGGTCTAGGTTTAGGTAGTCCAAGGTTAAAAACTGTAATAAACATTACCCAGTCACCTACATTAATTCCATAAATGTTTTGTATTTTTACTGTTTGTTTGTCCAGCTGTTACGCCAAAGCAAAGTAGGTACTTAAGTAAGTAAACTAAGCTACACTTGAAAAGTAGACCGCTATAGTCATAAATACATTACGCAAAGATACTTATAAAATTTCAACATATTATTATTATGCCTTTGTGCCACAATGTTAATGGATTTCGTTTAATTAAAAAGAGAAACATTGTGGTTCCCAAAGTAAACACAACCAACGCGGTTTTCGCATAAATCTTGACTTACCTAATCCGGAAAGATTGGGTCTCCGAAAAATACATCCTGACTTACTGCGACTTCCTTTTGTTTCACGCGGGACAATTACGAAAATTAGAGCTAGTGGTTCTCAAAATGTTCCTTGTCAAACCCCAGGTTGTGTCCCAGGGATTATAGCAACCCCTGAAGCAGTTTATGAAAGCAAAAAAGTTTAAGGTGGAAGAGATAGAAAGCGGTTATGAAAATGCGTCTCCTTTATATTGTAAAACAAAACATTGACTCATAATTTTATTAACTTGGGTAATATGAGTAAACTCTTGCCACTCTCGCAATAAAGATTAATCCCGTCCTGTCATCGTCAATGTATACGAGCAATTACGCAAAACCTGAAAATATGTCAAAAACTGTTTTTTTATACCTACTCGTCCCTCTTATCTAAGCTTTTTAATACTTAATGCTACTTTAGGTAACTCATTATTTAATTATCATAATTAAAATAATCAAGACCAACCACCTCTCAGACCCTATTTTAAACTTGCATCATTATATGAAGGTAGTCTGATATAGCCCAACCCCTCTATTTACACCAAGGTTGGAATATTATAACAATAACCGTATCATATGGCAGGCTTGTAGGTTAATAGGCAGTACAGTGTCTTCAAAACTTAGATTAAGACTGAGATAGGCCTTCGAAGTACCTAGGTACAGTCAGCGTCACATAGTTCGTGACACCCAAAGAGTAGCCAAAAAGTTCGCAACACGTCTTTGTGTTGTGTTGTCATCTTGTTCAGGTAGTTCAGGGCCAGGTGGAAGGCAGGAGAGCACGCGGTCGATCGCCATCACGAAGGCCACTGAGTCCACCATGGTCCAGAGTACTCGCGACGCCTCTAACCGTCAGAAATGGAAGCACATCGCCAGGAGATCTACCCTCGGAGATGACATCACCCCACCATGTACCTCGTCGGCGCAAGCACGACCACTCTGACAAGAGTACCCGACTGAGAAGAAGTTTCATCTTGTTATCTTCTTGGCCACTTTAGGTTTCACAAAGTATTTGACGTTGACTGTACCTAGGTAATATCTTGCTAACTTGTTTCCAACTCTACCTGTCTGTGGTTGTTGCTTATTACATAAACTTTAAACAAAGGGATCCAATATTAGGTATTATATCATATCCTCAAGCTGTCAATGGCGATACAGTTAAAACATACCAAACAATTCCAGACCTTTCAAAACAGATCCGCTCTTTGCCAAAGTTTTCTTACCTCGTTTACGATCTCACTCTTTCCCGGTACCGCTTTCGTTTAGTCGCGAATAGGGTTGCCAGGTCCTAAAACACAAAAGAGCTCAGTGCTTAATTTGGCCGGACATTTAACCGTAAAATCCGGACATACCTACCTTCTTTAATAGCTATTAGTAGTAGTAGTGCAATTAGTATCCGATCATCTTCGAATCGGCATATGTGCTCGATATTAATCGACTTTCGACTGACACGGCAGCCACATGAAAAGTCTAACAAAAGCTGGACAGGCCGGACAAGTCGGTAAAAAAGCCAAACATGTCCGGCTAAAGCCTGGACACCTGGCAACCCTAGTCGAGACAGATATCCGTGTG